CTCAGAGTAATTTTGATTTGTATTTCACTGATGATTAAAGATGTTGAGCACGTAATAGCCATAACCTGGGAACAGCCTAGATGCCTCTCAACTGAAGAATGGATAAGGAAAATGTAGAGCATTTACACAACGGAGTACTACTCAGCTGTAAAAAAAAAAAAAAAAAGATGACCTCAAGAAATTTTCAGGCACATGGATGGAACTAGGGAAAGAAAAAAAAAAAAAAATCCTGAGTGAGGTAACCCAGTCTAAGAAAGACAGTATGTACTCACCCATAAGTGGATCTTAGATGTAAAGCAAAGGATAACCAGACTACAATCCACAAGGAGGACCCTAAGAGGGACACATTGATCACCCTGGGAAGGGAAATTAGATGAGATCTACAGGATAAACTGGGGGGAGGGGGAGGGAGATGTTAAGGGGGAGAAGAGGGAACAAGATGGTTGAGGAGGGGAGGGATGCAGTGAAAGAGATAACTTAGTAGGGGGAAGGAAAGGTGGGAAGGAAGAGGCAGGAAGAACAATGGTTGGGATGTAAAATGAAATTTAAAAGAATAAATTATATTTAAAAAATCATGAAATTTTCAGGCAAATGGATGGGACCATCCTGAGTGAGATAACCAAGCCTCAGAAAGACAAAATGATGGGTACTCACTTGGACATTAGCTGTTAAGCAAAGGACAATCATTCCACAATCTACAGACCCAGAGAGGCTAACTGGCAACTTTCTTTCCTTGCTCCCACAAAACTTCCACCATCTTTACTCTGGTCTTTATTTCACTGGTCTTCTACATGGTCTTACCACTTAAGCTTCCATACCTAAATAGGCTTTCCATGTGTCTAGCTTTTTGTACTTACCATTCATCCATTACCATTCATCCATACCAAGTGCAACTATATTCTTTTTTATTGTGAATAAACCACAATTTATTGATTACTTAAACTGTTTTATTGTGAATAAACCATAATTTATTGATTATGTTAGTGTACTTACAAGGAGTGACTGGGCCATCTTGTAATGTGGTAATTTTAAGATATTTCTTTTTTTTTTTTCGATTTTTATTTATTTATTTATTTCATTCGGAGAGAGCAGTGTTACATGCATACCATGATGTGTCTGTGTGGAAGTCAGAGACATTTGTTGGAATCTGTTCTATCGTGTGGTTCCCAGGGATTCAACCCTGGTTGTCAGTCTTAGAGTACTAAGCCATCTCACCTCCAGTATGATTTGTTCCCCCTATCAACATAGATTGAGGGGGATTCAGAATCATACTCAGAGACCCAACAAACAGAGACAGTATCTCAATATATGCTCTTGTAGTCACTGAGGCAAGGAAAGACGATCATCTCATTACCAAGACAGAAAGGGATCCTTTTTGCTCCTGTGTAATTGACCAAAACAATTATCAGTGTGGGATACAGCTTTATAGATCGAAACAAAAACCAAAAAGACCCCCCAAAAACCTCTAATCATTCTCAAAGAGGAGGGAAACAGTATTTATGCACTGTCTAGTAACCCAAATTATTTCCTATTTGTCATTCATACAAATAGTTACATTTGTGAAAAAAAAGTCTTAATGTTTCTTCTTTGTATGTATGTATTCTTACCAGGATATAAACATATTATAAACAAGGATATAATATGTTTATATACATGAAAATGTACTCTCATATTTGTAGATAATTCTATTTACAAATTTTATTTGGAAACATAGTCTCCTGTAGCCCATTCTGGACTTGAACTCAGTATATAGCTGAGAATGACTTAGAATTTCTGATTTCTGCCTCTCAAGTGCTGGAATTGGTTATAGGAATATACCACCATGCTAGGTTTTTATGAGGTGCTTGAGATTAAAGCCAGGGCAAAAATGACCAATCAACTGAGTCATATTTTCATTTCCAAAATTAAATTTTTAATTTTTTTTAAACCAAGGTTAGTTCATTTACTCCATGTACTATGGTTTCAATGTGTTTCTCAAAATAACACCCTGTTTGGGTGTTATTTTGAGAAATGGTATGCACTTAAGGTTTTACGGCATAACTGGTCACTGGTGATAGAGCTTGGCAATACATATCGTGTCTTTAGCTCTTTCCTCTGTTCTTCTCTACTTCCTGACCATCATGAGGTGAGCAACTTAGCTCCAGTTCATGCTTACTTCCTCAGTCTCTTTGCAGGCTCACAACAATGAATCATCAACTAGGAATTGAGATTCCTGCAACCATGGGCTGATAGCACCTTCCTTAAGTTGTTCCTTTCAGGTGTTAGTCACATTAGCAGTGAGGTTGTTATTGTGATTAAACCCGATTTTGTGGTTTTTTTTGCATTTGGTTTGGGAGAATTTGGAAAAGTGCAGAGTTACACTGGAGAGGTCCCAGAATGATGTTAGAGATGCATAATGGGAAGTTCTGGTGAGAACTTAGAAGGTCAGATTGGTGATAGAAGTGTAGACAATATGGATGAGAATAAGGTCTTTCTTGGGGAATTGGATTACAGACCATTTTAATTCCAGCAAAGAACTTATTTATATTTTAGTAGTATGCTGAGTCTTTGCATGAGGCTGAATTTAAATGTCCAGACTAGTTAGTGCAGTAGAGAACATTTCAAGGGACCCTGAATTAAAATGAGATTGTTATTGCTAGCTGCTTTTAGTCAAACTTACAGCAAGAATTGTTACCAAAAGCAACGTGTTTAATTTGAAAATTTTTCACTTTGAGCGAAAAAAAAAAAAAAAAAAAAAAAATTAAAGTTGAAGCCAAGAAGAATGTGGCTATTGAAGAGATTAGGATCATTCAAAAGAAACTAAGTAAGCGTGGGTGGTTGTGGCTCATGCCTTTAATCCCAGCACTCAGGAGGCAGAGGCAGGGGTGCTTCTGTGAGCTCAAGGGCAGCCTGGTCTACAAAAGTGAGTTCTAGGACAGCCAGGGCTACACAGAGAAACCCTGCATGAAATATAAACAAAGTAACAACAACAACAAGAAACTAAGTACACTGTGTGTGGTTGTGCCTGTCTACCAATGCTAGCCAGCACTTGGTAATAGGATACAGGAGGATCAAGAATTCAAGGTAAACCTCAGCTACTAGCAAGTTGAAGTTTAAACCGACTATATGAAACCCTGTCTCAAAAGGTAAAAAGGAGTTGAAGCAGCAACTCAGTGGTTAAGAGCACTTGTTGCTATTGCAGATGACCCGAGGTTTGATTTTCAGAGTCCACATGGTAGTTCACAACTTTCCATAGCACTAGTTCCAGAGAATCCAATGCCTTCTCTGACCTTCACAGGACTAGGCATGCACATAGTGCATGTATGCATATATACATGCAGGCAGAACACTCATGTACCACCCCCCCCACCACCCCACCCTCCATCCCTCCCACCCCTGCAAACAGCCAAATATTTGGCATCAAAACAACAGAAAAGTACTTGAGGGTTCCTTAGGAATTTGTTAACTGCCACCCATGTTAGTCACTTGGGCATAAAGGTTTTAATTAATTCAAAAGACTTTGCTTAGAAAGCTGTTCACTTAGGGCCTCCTAGGAAAGTGTTCCCCCATGTTCACCTACTTAAGCCATTGAAAAGGAGCTAGCTACTGCCTGAGCTAGCAATAGAACTTGGCATTGCCCATATGATGCTGGAGTTTCAAGCATGTAGAATGTAAGAGTTGTGGGACTACAGGTTTCCCTCTGTATTTCAGAGGAAAGTCTAAAAGGCCAGTATATGTATGGCAGGACCAGAATCCCCACAAGAAGTTTCTGACAACGTGTGAAGTTGTGAGAGAGAGTAAAACCTTGGAGGAGACTCCAGAAAGTTAGAGAGGCCATGGACATAGAGCATCTGCTATAAAGAAGCCATGTGGACTGCAAATGGCAAGGCCTTAGTGGTGGGGATGGTCCCATGCCCCTTTGAGCTCATATCACTTCACCACATACCCAGGGTACTTTGGGGAATGAGCTATAGGACATAATGTCCTGCTTGTTTTGCTCTTATTCTGGCCCAACCTTTCTTTGGTGTCTGTCTATTTCACCTTCTTGGAATGGAAATGTTTACTGTGTGTCATATTTTAGAATATGTCTTGAGTTTTATGGGGGTTTATAGCTAAGAGTTTAGGTCTGAGGATATTGAACATGGACTTTTGAGAAATGCATTTGAGTTGGATAAGGTGGTTTGAGCCTCTACTTTCAGCATTTGGGGAGCTGAGTCAGGTGCATCCCAAGTTTGAGGCCAGCCTGGAACATAGCAAGACACTGTCTCAAAACAGAGAGGGTGTGGGGGAATATGCATTTAACATGGCCCTTTGAGGTCCCGTTGTGGAGTAGTGAAGTTTGGATATGTGCCCCAAAAGATTGTATGCACAGGAGGCTTGGTCCCCTCATTGTGGCACTATTAGCGGCTAACTGGATAATGAGGGTGCTAATTTCAATAATGGATGAATGGGCCACTTAAAAGATATGGCCTAGGAGGAGGCCTCTGGAGAAGGTACTTTCAAAGGGTATGTGTCTCTGGAACTTCCCTGGGACAGGAAATAGATTTCCATGGAAAGGAGTAGTTTTGCTCTGAACGGCCTCATTGGTGTCCTAAAGAGAACACTTCATATGGAGGCATGCTTGCTCAGCTGGTTATTGTTGAATGAGCGAGGGGTCGTGAATCTCATTTGGCCTTTGTTTTGGGTGTATGACTCATTCAGAGAAGGCAGAAGTGGGACATTCCAATAATGCTAAATACTTTAAGCAACTTTCAAATAATGTTCTCCATTCAAAACCACCCACTGGATATTTAATGTAATTGCTGAGACCACAGTAGAGCAAGGAGTCAGAATTCTGTGTCAGCCATTGCTAGGTTTCCCTATCCCTTGTAAACATGACTAACAGCAGGCCCCTGTACCCAAAGTACCCAGAGACTTTGCCCCACTTGCTTTGCACATGTCACCCTTCTTCCTCTATCAATAGCATCTTTTCCACATTTTATACTCTGTTCATACTCCAATCTTCTTTCAAATCCTGGAAGTCATTCCTGACACCACTACAGCTTTATTGGGGTGGGGGCGCTCAGGATAAGATTGTGCTGCACACATGGACCCTTCGTTGGATACAGGTGTCAGGGCTGAGCTTCGTGGGTAGTGGCAGGTGCATCAGGATGTTCTTGCTGTGCAGCTTGGTGGTGCCAAGGGGCCCGGTCATGTATACGGGACAGGAGTACACGTCCAGGCCAGCTGGGACTGGTGCATCACGGGCGCTACGGGTTTGTGTGCTTATGCTGACAGGAGGTAGAGGGCTGGGTTGGCTGGAAAAACTGTCCTGCAAGGCCCCATCCATCTGGTCCCATTCCGCATGCTGGAGCTGTAACCCAATCAGTAGCAGTCCCATCTCAGGAACCTTGGGATTTGGGCCATTCTCCACCTGGGGGCACCAGAAAACAGGCAAAGCTATGAAGATGAGAGTCAGCAGGGTCGACAGGAGGGTGGAATCAGATACTTTTGAGGAGGTGAAATGGGGAGCAGAAAGGGTGATGTCAAGATACCCGGATATGCAGAGGATGGTTGTTCAGCTCCTGACGTTTAGGTGGGACACTGCTGGAGCCAGAGCCTTGGTTACCAGTAAGATTAGGGCTGGGCACTGAGGACCCCAAGATAGCCTCCCAACGCAGTGCCAGCAGCAGACGACGAGGGTGGCGAAAAGCTGACAGGTGAAATATGCGCTCTGGTTCTTTGGCATTTTCGCTCGTGCCACTGTCCAGGTAGCGAATCAACAGATGCCCACGGCGGGAGAGCTGTCGCAGCCATTGCCAGGGCAGCTGAGGCCCAGCAGCCGCATGAGATCTCCAAGGCCGAGGTAGGCGTCCAGCCCAAAGAGCATGGGCCACTTCTGCACAGCGGCTGGAGTTGCATGGGGTTTCCCCCTTCAGCTGCTGCAATAAGCAGTCAAGGTCGCGCTGCAGTATGCCTACCAGCTGCCTCAGTTCCAGTACCTCTGTCTCTAAAAAGCCCTCCAGAGGCCGGTGGGCATTGGGCCCTAGTACCGCCCAGGGGGTGACATACTGGCCTGAGCGAGAACGGTTGGTTAGCAAAGCCTGAAGTGCCACTAGCCTCTTCTTGGCTTGCACTAGGCGTTGCCGAAGGCGCCGTTCTTTACGCTGGGCGTTTCCTCCAGAGGCTGAAGGAACCCATGTGGGTGAACACTGCTGTAGCACGTTCAGGAAAGCACGACTCTGGCGTCTCAATAGCCAGGACTTGGGCCCTTCATTCAATCCGCAGGTACGAGGTTCTGCTGGTGTGGGCAGTAGTTGCATCTGGGCCTTGCACTCTGTCATGGCATCTAGCTCCCCTAGCTCTTAGGATTGGAAATGAGGAACAAGAATAGATTCTCCCTACTAGACCCAAGGAAAAGTAGGCCTTCTTCCAACCCCAGAATTACCAACATTGCCCTCTCATACCTTTATTGGTGCAGATATTGTCCACATTCCTACGGGGACTGCAGTGCAATGCACTAATTCCCCACCCCAGGGTGGACATTTGCCTGCAGCTTACCTGGGCTAGGCATTAGAGTGGCCAGCAGATACTGAGGTGTGTGTGGCTGGGCCCAGCTCATGTTCCTGGGATTCAGGCAGGCTCGTGTCAGGCTAATCAGGGCCTCTCTGTCCTCTGGGTCCCCCAAAGAACCTCCATAGAAAACTGAAGCTGCAGATTAAATCAGAACTTCAGTCCTTCCAGTTTCCAACACCTCTCAAAACAAAATTGTGTGTTTATCCATCACCTGTGTCCTGGCCTTCAAACTTCCACCCCACCCTTTCCTGGGTCTTCTGGGGGCTGATCACCATATGCAGGACAGGAGGAGGACCTCACCAGCCAGCTCCAGCAAGGCAGCCCTGGGGTTACTGAGACTGGCCCACAGATGCTCTTGGATCTGAAGTATCTTGGTTAAAGTTACTTGACTCCTGGATAAGGATAAAGAGAGTACAGTTTTAATAACAATATGCTAAGGACTCCTGCATCTGTTCTTCAGTGCAAACCTCTCTCCTGAGCTCTAGACTTATGAGGGCTCACTAGACATTATTACTTTGTACCCCAATACAACTTGCTTTCTACTGCAATAACCATTTTCCCCTATAAAACCTATTCTACCTCTTAGCCTAGTAAGAGGTATCACAGCCACCCACTTGTTTAGGAAGTCTAGGGGCATCCTTATTCTTTACTGTATATTTATTCCTGACCTCTACTCTGACTACCACCCTAGTGCCTACCACCCATATCATGATGGCTTCCTGAGAGCCTCCTTAAAAGCTGTTCTTTTCTCCAGGCCCACCCCCTCTGTCTATTCTTCACATTGAAGCCTGAGTGATGCTTTCGACGGAATAGGATCAAGTCTCTCCTACTTAAACCCCCCAGTGACTTCCTGATGTCTGCAGGATAACTAGAGGCCCCTTGTCATGACCCTGAAAGCCCTTCCTCTGTTCAATCCCCAACATGTTCACCTCAGCCCCACTGAAATCATTCTCTCTGCTTAGAAAAGCCCTGTTTCTATCCGACTGGCTTCTGCTTTTAAGGCTCAGTTCAAAGTCCTTGCAGAAGTTGTGCAAAGTTCTTGCAGAAGACTTCCTTGCTGTCCCCTTGCCTTCCCTCTTTGGAGCTTTCAAGCATCTGGAAGGTGCTTGGTGTTTGCTAGATGACCTAATAGGACTGGTGGATCCCTCACCAGCGCCCTCTGTGTGCTTGCAGCTTTATCCCATAGAGCTGTCGGTGTAGTAGGAGACCATGCAGCAGGAACAAAGGCAGTGTCTGGGTGAGGGGTTGCATGCAGAGTCCTTGCTGGGAACTCACACTGTCAATCAGGATCCGGCCCAGTTCTAAGGACTGGTCCCAGAAAACAGGCTTGGAGTGCTGTGTCAGTACCCCTGTGGAGGAAGCAGAGTGCTGAGTCAGCACAGTATAGTCACTCTCCCCTCCTTAGGACTTGATAGCTCATACAGCGATGCTCCTCACCTGGCAAGGAAGCACTGGCCTCAGTAGATACAATCAGCCAAAGACGGAAATCTCTGTGGACAGTGGCCACATTCCTGCTTTCTGGTTCTGGTGACAGTTCAGAGTCTGAGACCACTAAGTTTAGATAGGGGGCTGAAATAAATCCTCAGGTAGTGAATAGGCTGACCCACAAGTTCAGGAATCAGACAGAAGAGCAAAGGGATAGGCTTCACACTTGGAGATCAGCCATGAAGCCTTAGAATTCAAGCTCAGGACCAAGTGTAGGGCAGGATCCTCAAAGCCATCCCAAAGTAGTACACTTACCCCTGGCTCCATCCAGCAGTCCCAACAAGGGCTGTAGCAGTTCTCTTGGCCAATGGGGCATCAAATGACAGTTATCCAGCACCAGCCAGTGCCCCTGGAGCATAGCCTGGCATAGAGTGTTGACTATAGTTGAGACAGGATCCCAGTCTTCAGAGCCTAGTGCTATCACATGCAGATGCTTCTGTGTCTAGGAACCATTAGAGAGGTGACAGAGTAACTCAGAGTGATCTTGGGATGACTTGATAGACTGAGAGAGATGTCAGAATAATCCTAAAGTACCTGTGTTATTTAAAAAGACCTATAAGGATGCTGGGACAGGGTCCCCATACTCCATCCCAGCCCATAGAAGCCTACTCACTCTTCGTCAAATGACTAGATTCAAACCTTTTCATGGTTGGCAGCTAGTTTCCGGATGACAGTCACAGGATGCAGGGTAGATGTAGGGTGGCCAGGTGGTGGCAGCAAGATCAGTATGGGCTGGGTAGCCTGATTATGTTCAAAGATCATGGTAGGAGCACCCAGGTCTTCATCTAGGGGCCGACCTAGTAAGCTGGTGGTGAGGTCTGCTAGGGCACCTGCCAGGCAATCTGGTCGCAGTACACGCCACAGTATCAGCTTCTGGAGGAGGCTAAGTGGCGCAGAATTAGGACCAGGGGCAGGACCCAGCACAGTGGATGATAATGACAGATAATCCTGCCACACACTGGAGTGGCCTGCCAGGGATGCACGCAGCCCAGCAAATGGGGACAGCAGCTCCAGCACCCCACATTCTTGCCAGGCTTTTAAGCCTAGCCAGGCTGGCCTAACCACACCAGGGACCTGTGTGTTATGGCCTGTGCTGGGAGAGGCTGACAGTCCAGGCCAGAGTGCCAAACTCTCTATCTTTGGTGTCTTCTTTGCCACTTGCAGTAGGGCCAAAGCCCCCAAGGCACCTACCAAGGGTGCTTGGGTCAAGCCTAGGGCAGCAACAGTGCTGGTCAGTAGCTGGCGGGTCAGGTGTATTTTCAGCTGCAGCAAATGGCTGGTCAAGTCCTCTCCATGATAACTGTCATGTGGTTTTATGCTGTCTAGAGCCCGCCTGGTAGTTGCCAACCAGTTCTCTAAATTCATACAGAAAAATGGCAGCAGGTTCTGTAGTGGGCTTAAGGCCTCTACTATAGCCATTCCATGACAAGCTATCTGCCTGTACGGTGCCCACAATACCATCTCCTCCAGCTTCTGCTCTTCTATCTCCTCCTTCTGAGCATTCAGTTGACATATCTTTGCCTGAGTCCTCACCATCGCTCTCAGAAACTTGGACGGTTTCTGGCGCTTTTGGTTCTGAAGTAGCAATATCACCAGCAACCGTTCCTACATGTGGTAATTTGTTGGGTGGATCTGGACCTTTGTGATGGTCCCCAAACATCATCTCCAGCTGTATACTTGACCCCTTCCCATGTTTATCCCACTCCACCCCGATTGGGCCCCCAGGCACCTCAGCAGCTGCCACAGCTTCGGAGGTATCCACTGCTCTGATTTTCAGGTCCTGCCAGCGGGTCTCAAGCTCTGGACGTTCTCTGCACAGGATTTCGTGCAGCATCTGTTCTTCTAGTATCTCCATATTCAGACCCAGATCCAGAATATTCAACCCTTTCAGCAATTCAGAACCTAGTACTTGGGGTCACATGGAAAGTGCTAACTCACCCATGTCAGAGTCAAATGTATAGTAGACAGGGAATTTGGCTCTCTTTCACAGTTTGGAGCCAGCTCTGAGCGTAACTGAATGAAGCCCTCTTAGGGATGATTCTGGGGGCCCCCCAAAATGTCTACAAAGCTATGCAAGTAATCTTCTGGCCTCACTGTTAGAATTCAGGCACCTGTACTGGCCTGTCCTTGTAGGATATGTCCATAGCTACAGATGCAAAGAACACCACCTGTGCACATCCACTGTGTTCCCTTTCTGTTCCCTCCCCCCCACTCTGTTCCTCCTTCCTTCCTTCCTTCCTTCCCCCCCCCCCCCTCTCTCTCTCTCTCTTTCTCTCTCTCTGCTCTCCTGCCTGTCTTTCTGTCTCCCTCCCCCCACTTCCCTTTTCTGCTGCTCTTGTCCCCAGCCTCCCCTCTTCCCTCCCCTTTTCCCCATTCCTTTTCCCCTAATAAAAACCCCTCCATGAGAGCTCTGTCACATGGCATCTTTCTCTCTCATGCCGCTTTTTAAATTACAGCACTCACCTCGTTCCAAAGCATGGATGGGAAGGGCAGTGCTCAGATAGAGACAGAAGCCAGGTTGAACATGGGGTGGACTCAGATTCTCCCTCGACAGCAGCCGACGAAGTTCTTGGCACCCTAGGCTCAGCTCCATATTAGTCAAGAGCACAGGCAGGCCTGTGAGGGGAAGTAAGAACAATTATCCACAATGCCAGCATCCATGCCACCCAGTCCCTGCACAAGATCTGCTTCTGATCACCTCTCTCTTGGCTGATAAGAGGGCTCAATCAAGATTCTTCAACATGGTGAAATGTGGGGTCAAAGCTGAGGTCAGATTGGGGTATGAAAACATTGAGGGGCCACAGAATTTGGGAAGGAAATGGGGGTCGTGGTTCTCACCATTGGCAGCTGCCTCCAGGAGCTGAGGACCCAACTCTAGGTCAGCGCCTGAGAGCACAGTGAGGCAAAGAGGTGGAGACAGAGTCTCAGACGATGTACTTGAGCTCGAACTCTCTGACTCATTCTTTTCTTTCTCTGTTTCTTTCTCCTCCTGCTCTTTCATCTCTTCGCTCTTGTTTTCATCTATTTTCTGCTCTTTTGTTTGGTTATTGGCCTCATTTCTATCTTCTTCATCATTGTCATTATCACCTTCATCTTCCGTTTCATCCTCACTGTCTTGGTTTGTCACACCACACTTTGCTGGGATGGAAAGATACAAAAGGGTGTTTCATAGACAGTAGCTTGTTTTCTGAGGAGTTCTGGTTACCCAGGGAAGGGTTCACAAGTGGAGGTCTAGAGGAAGGCAGTTTAGGAAAGCTGCTTAAGGTCATAACTCAGTTTTTACATCTGAAAATTGGAGTTGATATTAGTGGTAACCTCATAGGGTTGCTCTGTAGAGTAATTGTGATGATACATAGTATGGACCAGCACATGGCAAACAATAAATGCTGGTTGTCATTATTACTGTAAAATTCCAAGAAAGGGGTTAGTCATCTCTGAAGTTGGCTCCATTTCTGCCCTTTCTATCAGATGATTGGAAGAGTCAATACCCACCCCCACCTTTTTTTAAACATCAGCTATTCTGGTAATACCAACTACCAGAATGTCCTCCCAGATAGGGATATTGGTGCCTGAAGCAGTGGCTTGTAGGTAAAAGCCTATAAACTATCATACTAGAAAAGTCATGGCTGGGGTGCTGGAAACCACAGAAGATGGTGTGGAAACAACCATTCCCAAGCCATTTATCCTGCCAGAAGAGATAAACACTTGTTTTCTTTCTAGATTCTCTTATAAGTGGAGGCTGCTCGGGTCTACTGTTAGTTGCATTCATTTTCTCTTGATAGCAAATTTAGCACTTCAAGCCACCATTTATTATCCCTAAGTACTGAGGGCTAGTGGTCCAGCGCAGCATGGCTAGATTCTCTGATCAGCCACACACTGGGCTTAGGTAAAGGTCTCATCTAGGGCTGAAGGCCCTCCTTCAGATTTAGTGGATAGTTGTTGTTTGGCTGTTTGTTTGTTGTTTGTTTCTTTGTTTGTTAAGATAGGATTTTACTATGTTTCCCAAACTGTCCCCAAATGGTTGGGCTCAAGCCATCCTCATGCTGTGACTTCTTGGGGACCTGAGCCCAAAGGTATGTACCACTGAGCCTGGCTCTTACTGGGTTTTCACAATTTCCTTCCTACAGTTGACTTTTAAGTCCCATCCATTTCCAAGCCAGCAAGTCTTTTGACTGTCCCTGACCTTCTAATCTCTCTGTGTTTTCTTTCCTCCTTTCTGCTCTGAAGGGCTCATGATTAGATTAAGCTTCACCAAGATAATTCAGAATGATAGCTCTCCTTAAGGCACATTGATTAGTAACCTTGGTGCATTAGTAACCTTCTGAAGTTCATACCAGAAGGCAGAGGTCAGAGCTGCAGGTATAGCTTGGTAGTACAATGCTTTCCTAGCACATAATAATCCCAAGTGCTTGAAAAAAGGAAACCATGGGGACCAAAATTTTGCCCAACACTTCTGAAAATGTCTGCTTTCCTGACATAAGAGACATAGATTGCCAGCAGTAACGCTGACATGATGCCTGAGTGGTAAATATCTTGCGACTATGATGCATATGGAGTAGTTTCTGGAATGACCATAGCAAGTTTCCACAAACTTAGTGGCTTAAACTAATATTCTGTCAGTTGTGGAGGCCAGATGTCTGAAACCAAAGTTCCAGCAAAGCTTCATCCCCAACAAAAACTCTAAAGGGAAGTCTGCCTTTGCCCCTCCATCCACTGGTGAGTGGAATTTAGGAATTCCTCAGCTGTGGCTCCATAACCTTGCCTCCTTTGTATGGTCTCCCCTACTGTGCATCTCTGTCCTCTTCTCTTAAAAGATGACTGTCATAGGACCTAGGCCTCACCCACTTAAGGAGCAGAATGATCTCATTTCAAGGTCCTGAAGTGCATTATTTCTATAAAGACCCTCTGTTCATGTACGATGAGAATTGTCCTCTCATCTATTCAACTCCCCAGACTTCTTTCACAAGTGGATCCCTTTATTTCCTTCTCCTAGGAAATCTGCCAACACTCTATTCAGATGGGTCCCTGATTCAAACAGCCAGTAAGAATATTTTCCAAGAATTTTTGAATGTTGCATGAGTTTTGGTAATAAATATTCCCCAAAATTATAAGCTTTAGTTGTAAGCAAGATTTTCCATGGTGTTGAGTAGAGCGGAGAAGTGGAAGGTCATGGCTTGGCTAGCTATGCAGATTTAGGGCCACTGTAACATGAGCTAAAGCCAATAAGACATAAACAGTAAATGAGAACAAATGTATTAGTATAGTTCAGGCTGGTAAAATATATGTGTTAGCCACAGAAACTCAGTATCTCCACCATGAAAGGGCAGACCATAGGAAGCTGGGAGTGTTAGGGAACTCAGACACCCCAGAAGCATAAGGCCATCATCATCCATGCCTACCTCTGTTCTCTTTGGAAGGTGGCTCCAACAACTTGTCCTGTTTAAGGGGTAGTGGATTCAACCAGATGAGGGCCTGGTTGCTGGGGTCAAGCAGTAGAGGCCAACGGCAACTGCTGAAGTGGATATGGCTTCGCAGCATCAGGCCTAACAAGCGGGCTGACTTCGCTTGGGGCTTCAGGTCTCGATCCCACTGCTGCTGTTCAGATCCACAGCTCAGCAAGGTCAGAATCCTGAAGGGACTACATGTGGGCACCAGAGGGTTCTTTGGTGGCACTCCAACAGATTTCTGCTTCAGTGCCTGGGCTACATCATCTGGCGCCAGTGGTTCCTCAAAGCCCTGACACAGAGACAGCCACTTCTCCAACAGTTCTTGGCGCCGCCGTGGTGGGAAGGGACCCAGATAGACAATGGCAGCTGAGCACAAGAGGGCATCTCCAAACACAGTCTTGCAATGATCCTTCAACTTCTGGTGGGGAGAGGTAACCAAAGCATGAGGTATGTGGAGGGGCAGACAGAAGGTTACCCGAGGGGAACAAGGTGATATGAAGAGGAAAGTATGGAAAGGAAGGTGTGGGAAACCAAGAGGAAACAAGGCATATGGTGGGATGCAAAATGAAATGGGAGAGAGTCATCTGGGAAGGGCTTCTCACCTGGAGCTGTATGGTCCACATGTGCATGGGTGTGAGCAATGCAGTCTTCATGGGCCATTTGTGATACTGTCCACATTGCGCCTGATTGAGGCTCTCCATGACGAGGTTATGAGAGGCTTGGGCTTCTTCTAGCTTCTTAGTCAGAGACAAAATTTGCTCTAGCAGATCATGGGCCTGGAACTGGAATTGGCCTAGGCGGGCCTGCTCCCTAGCCAGTGTTGCCTCCACCTGCCGTAGCAGCAGGCCAGTGGGTAATCCCCGGCGCTGTGCCAGCCCATACCTCAGAACAGCCCGTAACCAGACTGCCAGACTTGCTGCAGGGATGCTTACTGACCTCAAGGCTGTATCACTCATACCTGGAGCTTTCAGCGCTTGATTTAACTTTATCAGCTCTGAGTCAGTCAGCTTCTCCTTGGGGAAGAATACCAGCTCCTGGGACATTGTTAAGGGGAGAAGGGAAGACAAGGGTGCTCTTGACCTTGGCTCAATAGGCTAATCCTGCCCAATTCATCCTTTACATGATTCCTCTCCTTTTTATGGTACCTCATCTTCCCTACCTGATAAAAATCTTCAGTACACAGCAGCTGCTTGGCACTAGCCCAGCCTGTCTCATGGTGGAACAGGTCACACAATGCATCCGTCACCTGGACTACAGCATCTGGTGGGGCTCGATAGCTTCTTATCTCCTCAAAGTCAGCCACCTGTAGCTGGCTCAAAGGACCTAGAAATGCCTTGCCCATCTAAAAATGAAGACAGATGCACGCTGCAGAGATCCTGCCATGTTCTGCTCATTCTTAAGGATGTGTCCAAGAGAAATAATCTCTCTTAAGGTTCCTCCTGAGGATCCATTCCCAAGCCACCCTGTAACTTTGGCCTCCCTGCCAGGAGCTCTACTAGTCACCCCATTCTGTCTTCTGAGCATCCTGTGAGTGGTTGTCCTCTCCCTAGCAGAGAAGGTAGCAGGAAGAGCCTACCTGCTCCAGGAAAGCCTCCTGTTGGGTCTGTAGTGCATCTTGCTGCCTGACCAGATTCTCAATGAGGCTCTCCTGATGTTGACATTCTGCCATCTTCTGCTTGTATAGGAGCTTACTTTGTTCAAGCTGGCTTTGATACATACCGACATTCTGTGAACAGAGGTCCAGACCTTGCAGCTTCATTCCCTAGGCTGTATGAGACCACCCACCCCCTCACACACAGATATCATGAGCATGAATAGGGTGACCCAGTCATATTCCCAGTAGGTCGTAGATTCTGCTCTGGGTGTGTGACTTATACATCTAGTAGTAGAGCCTTAAGTTGGCGGTGGAAGGGGTGCTTTTCCTGCCATCCTGTTGCCATACAATTAACTCCAAAGCTCATGTGTAACTATTGTGCTACATCTCTCTTCCCAACTCCCTAGCAACAGTTGTCAGAGAACACTGTCCCTTCCTCTGGAAGCTTTCTCCTCCCCTGGCCCTCTTCTTTTGCTATCCCTAAATACTTCCTTAATACAAGTTTCCAAGCCCCCATTTTCTTCTCTTCCTCTAATATCATGGTCTTGATAGATTGTACTGTGTGGAGTAGTGTTTTACTATACCATATCATTAGTCTAAAAACCCAGATCTCTCTAAAGCCACATTTCTTCCCCAGCCTTACACCATGCATCCATCTACTTAAGCCTCTCATAGGCCCCTCCAACTCTAAATGTTCGCAAAATGCATTCATTACTCCTTAGCTGTCTTGCAATATTACTCCTCTTTCTGTGTCCTTTTTTTCCAAAGAACTTTGACAGAATATTCTCAGATTACTCACAGAGAAAAATCTTTCTGCTCTTGGCTCCATCTCTTCTATTTCCTCAAACCTAACTCATTTTTATAGATCTTCCCATTATACCCCCTAAATGTTTCTTATCTCCATTCCCAACGTCCATTAACACTCAGAATCTCTTCTGAGCTGCACACTACTTTTCTAGCTGGTGCCTTCATTTCTGCTTATTCTCTTCCTCCCACCACTCATCACACTGCACACTAATTAGTTTTCTTTAACTGAATTTCATTGTTTTTGTGTCTTAACACTCACGTTCTTAACTCTCATCTTTCTAGGCTCATTCTTTTTGTTCCCTGAGCACCATACTCTCCAGACATTTCCTGACTTTGAGTTCCCCTAGTGTGGTCAGTGTTCTCCAGTCTATGTGTCTTCATTCATGGTGATGCTTCAACCCAGGTGTTCTTCCTCTCCACATCCCTTTATACCTGTCCAGATGTTACCTTAAGGAACAGCTTTGTGGTTCTTCATTGTTCTTTGTATTTTAGAGGAATGTTTTGAACATTCACCTCATTCTATATGTTGTGCTACATACTGAGGTCCTGGGCAATACCAATTAATAAATGAACTGATTAAGTATGAGAAAGGAAAAAAAATGGAGGAGACAAGAATGATTCTGGGGATTTGACTTAGATGATTAAGGGAATTGTAGTATCATTTTTGGGGGTGGAAAACACTGGAAGGATGCATTATTAGGAACATTAAGTGAATGATCAAAGGATCTAACCAAATGACCCCTGAGATTATGAATATCTCCTATCTGTATTTGGAGCTTCCTATATTATAGTGTCATATAAGAAATCAAGGAATAGCAGGACTCCTCAATCAAATCAATAATTCATGGTATTAATTATCTTGAGAAAAATGTAGGACCCAAGGCAAGATACTAGAATTTAGGAAATGTAAGAAAGGAGACCCTATTTACTTTGAACTTTCTACCACCCTCACTCCCCTTTTTTTTTTAATTCATCTGAGTCTTGAGGTCGAACCTGGTCATCATAGGAGGACCAGGATAGGAAGAGGGCACCAGCACTATGAGAACTCCAGGGCCACAATTTACACAGAATACTATGGAGATTATGTAACGTGGGGAAAAGCCCTGCTCACCCTGGCATAAAGAGTCTGTTTAGGTGTGAGAAGTTGCAAGGCCCAAAAGCTTACTAGCAAATTGAGCAGATTACCTCATTGAGAATGGGACACTAGTTCACTTCTCAGCAACCAGTACTGAATCTTTTTCAAAGACTTATGTGATAGAAACTAAAACAAAGTGCTATTTCAAAAGCCATTGTTATTAAAAGCAAAACTTCTCACTAATTTGTAAAAATACCTCAAATGGAGCATTTGGCTGTGGAAGGAGTAACAATTCCCACCCCACTAGTTTTAGCAAAATATGAGAGGTTTATTTATTTAAAAATCATTGGCTCTGCAAATAAAAGCAAAAAGATTAGGGTTTGGACTAGAAAGGAACTGCATTTGGGGTAACATTCAGGTGGAAAGAGGAAGGTTGATGAGCAAGTGGAGCAAGTGTTAGAAGAAGTAGAGGGAAGAAAGGAGATGGTTCTGGGAAATACCCAGCAGCAGAGGCTCACTATGTAAATCTAGGACACCAATGTCTAGTATGCCATTTAAATATGATTTTGTGTCCTTGCTGTAGTGTATTGTATATTCCCCATTTTCATTAGTCATCCACATCTTCTCATTGTTCACCATAGCCTTATACATAGGTTTTTTTTTTTTTTTTTTTTTTAAAGAAAGCTACAAAACAAAGTAACGGAGGGGGAAAGCAGATGGCTGTCATGAATCCCACTGAAAAGGATAAGGAATCCAGAGATCTCAGGGGCACACCAACTGCCTGTATTGAGTCAAGGCACTAAAGTTACCCAGGGGCAGACATTTGAGACTTCTGTGTTAGAAAAGTCAATCTAATCTGAGCTATATCATGGGAAACTGTGGGCCCTGGGGTCTAACGGAAGATAGAGCAGGGATTAGAGAGACCCTCCAGGGAAAAGACTACTCTAAAAGAAACAAGAACCAAGATTCACCTAGGTTGGTTCTGCTCTGGTCCCTTTTTTCTCTTGCTTTGACACAACTGTGTAAATCTCACAGTCTTCTCCCTCTTTACCTTGTAGGAGCCTTTTAGCTGCTGTTCCAGGTCAGTTAGGAGGTTAGTTTGGGTGCTGTGCCTCTCAACCAGCAGCCTCAGAGTCTTCAGGGCAGAGTGGATTCTGGAAACACAGTATACAAGTGAGTGGACTCAAGAGAGCAGAAAGAAGTGAACCATAGGAATGGGGATGCTTACCGCCAGGCCCTCATTCTCATCTTCAGGATCATCTGCTGCTGCTGCTGCAGGAACATGTCCAAGAAGTCCAGGAACGTCTTGGGGGTGACAAGTGGCAATGCAGGGCATAAGTGCTGATGGTAGTAGGCAGATGAAAGATGGATGAGAGCCATGATTTTGGCCACATTTGGAATTAAGGCTTTGATGTCTGGGCACTTCAAAGAGCCTGCAATTGATATAGTTTTGGTCTGGATTTGTAGGATTGGAAGGTAATGAGAACGGAAGGAAAGTAGGAGACATCAGCCAGAAAGCAAGGAAAGGGAGAAGAAGAGTGAGATATATCTGATCAAGAGGACGAGAGAACCCACCTGGGCAGTAATCTCACTAGCTGGTTGGGACAAGTGCTAGGAACAAATGAGAAGTGGCTCACCATCATCAAGAGGTAGACTCTGAACATTCTCTAGGTGGTACTGGGCAATCCTGACCAGGGAAGCCTGATCCCAGGGTTCATAGCGGTCAACACTGGCAGTGGCCAGTTGAAGGAGCCTCAGGAGAAGGGTGGAGGGCAGCTGCTTTTGGATTTGGTCATCTCCCATCAAGAAGAGCATGTGCAAGTTGCTACATACTTGCTGGTAGAACCTGTAAGTCAGAGACTCAGCTGTCATCTTCCTGTAGACCTATTTACATGTCCAGACCCCTGTTCCACATGGACCCTTTAGCCCACATCTTCAGAGTTCTTGTAACAACCTAAAGATTTTTCTCTTGCCGTTTTGGCCAGGGAAGAGTAAAACAGAGCTGACACGGATGGGTTCTGGGCCTCACCTGTGCAATATTGTGTCCTTCTTCATGATAAGTTTAATCACGGGGTTGTCCTTGGGGAGATGTTCTTCAATGTTATCCAGGTCTGCCTCTGTGTACTGGTCAGGGAAGCTACCCGAGGTTGCTAGGGCCACCAGTCGTTGAAAGATAGCAATGTTCACATTATCAGGCACCAGAAGGGCCACTGGCTGGTTTAATACTCCAGCACACCAGCTGGCATCCCGGAGACACTGGAAAGTAGCCTCCTCTGACTCAGATGGCAAATGAAAGAGGTGAGCCTGACAAATGCTTGAAGCCAGGCTGATGGCTGTATGGCGCCCAGTACCACGAGTCATGGAGAGCAGTAGGCCATGCTGCCTGGGCCTAGCCAGAACTCGGACCAGGCGGGCCACGTGCTGGGTCATCATATGGCACCGAATAAGGTTGGGGTTCAGTTTCAGCCGAACAGCTGAGGCAGCCAACTGCTTTTCCAGGTTTCCCCACTGTCGTTCTAAGTACATGTTGGGATTCTCAGTGTTAGATCCCAGTGTGAGTTCCAGACTGAACACCAGGTCTGAGGGCTTTTCCTGGGGATAGAGCAACAGCACGGGCAGCAACAAGGGTAAAGTTAAGTCCATCTGGGATGCCATCTGCCACTCATTCTTGGGTATCTCTGACTGGAGCTTATCACCAGAAGCCCTTATATCTTCCTCCTGCTCAGCCATCTGATTTACACTTTCTCTGTTCTCCTTGTTTACTGACTTTATGGGGAATGGTGCTAGACCGCTATCACTGAGGAATGAGACTGTGTTGGTCTGAATGCCGTATGGATCCTCCTCTTCTTCTGACTCACTGTCACTGTTGCTTAAGTCCTCCCACTGGGCTATTTCTCCCTCAGATTCTACTTCAGGCACTTTTTCCTCCTCCACTTCCTCCTCATAGTCCTTGACCAAGGGGTGAGACTCTGGATCACAACAGAAGACATTCTGAGCTACTTCCAGAAGCAGGTTAGCACAATGTGAACGTTCCCTGTCGCTGTCTAGCCGGTCACAAAATGTTCTTTGTGCCTCATGTAACCAAAGACGAGCCATGATGCGCATAGACATCATGATAGTCAGGCGAGTTCCACGCAAGCCAGACACCCGGCGAAGGTGCTCCTGGTGATGGAAAGTATCTACAGAACCTCGTGAGCCTGTTCTGCTAGGCAACAGCTGCAGGCTTCCCAGAATATGGCTCACAGAATGCAGGGAAAAGCGGTAGTGTGGGCGGAGAGGTGAAGGCATGAAGCAGTTACACACAGCCTTCCAGGCCTTCACTGAAGCTCTGACGAGAGCTCTTGCCAGAGTGTTCTCACGCTCCACAGAGGGGAAGCGCTCAAGCCAGGCTTGGATACTAGGCACATGCCTGCTCAAAAGGGTGTCCTGGGTCATGTTGTCCAGGGCCAGCACTGTGAAGAGCCGGAAGAGACGTGGACAGAGTGGACGCTCAGAGTAACCTGGCACTGTAGCAGTGGCAAGGAAGTTGACTGTAGGCTGCAGCGTTTGTAATTCCAAAGAGTTTCGGGCATAGATTGTGCCTTCCATTGCCTGGCGCAGAGTCTCTAGCACTGGCTGGCAGCTCTTCTCTGGGTCTGCAAAAATATTAAGACCAGCACTGAGGACATGTGCAAGCCCACATGAAAGTATCCCAGTATGCTTCCCATCCCTGCCTCCTCTTTTTCCAGCACACAGAGTTCTAAAGGAATTCTGTGTATCTGATGTTCTGGCACTTGGTAACCTCTGAGCAAGTTGCTCTCTCTCCACAACATTCCTAAACAAAGTGATGTCTTTTCTCTCCTCCATGAGATCCTACCTATTCATTGCCTGAAGGAAATGGATATTGTAATATTTGTAATATTTGGAAACTGAGTCAGATCCCAATTAGAAAGTGCAAATCATCTCCACTAGAGAATGCACAGTTATATCACACCTATGCTTTGATCCAGTCATGGCGGTACATACCTATCATCCCAGCACTTGGGAGATAAAGACAGGTGGATCAAGAGTTCAAGGCCACCTTTGGCTACATAGTGGCTTTAGGGTCAACCTGATTGACCTACATGAGAATCTGCCTCCCCCAAAAAATGCCAGCCAGATGACTCAGTGAATATGAGTGCCTAGCCAAGCAAGCCTGACAACTAAAATTCAATCCCTGGAACCCATATAAAACAACCAGGTGTTATTTGTAATCCCAGCACACCTATTGAGAGATGGGAGGTAGGAGAGTTGCAGGGAAGCTGTGAGTAGCCTGGAATATATAACATAGCACTGGAGAAGAGAGATCCTGCTGCTAGAGAAAGTGAGAGGCCCAGTTCCTGAGTATGACCTCTACATACATGCTGTGGTACAAGGTGCACCTGTACATGTACACACACACACACACACACACACACACACACACACACACACACACACAGGAATAAAATTTTAAATGACTTTAAGATGTGATTTCTTAGAGATGCAAGGAGAATGAGGAGGGAAGTAGGAAGAGTTGAGAACAAAGTATAAAGATACATATGTATGAAAATACCATAACGAAACCCATTGATTTATATCCTAATCTGAAAACATAAAGAGAAAAAGTGATTTACACAAAACAAAGTATATGCTTAACTGTATAGCAGAGTTCTGAAAATATGGACACCTCTGTAAACCACCACTTCAGTGCTATTTAGATTTCATCAGCCCCAAGAGCTCCTTCATGCTTCTCTACAGCCTACAGCCACCCCCTTACCACCATGCAGATATAGCTTTCTGAACTGGTTGCTCTTGCTGTCAACCATGCCTCGCTAGAAGTTTGTTTAAATAGAATCGTGTAGCAGCTACTTGATCATATCTGTTTTCTTTCCCTTTGCCTTCATTTGACATTCATATGCTTTTATACATCAGTAATTTGATATATTGTTATACAATATACAATGTAGCATTATGACAATACCACAATTTGATTTGTAGATCCATCAACACATGGAGGTTAGTTCCAGGCTTTGGCTTTTCCAATGTTTATCCATGTACTTTATTTAGGGACATGTTTGATTTTGCCTCAGGCAAGTACAAGAAAACGCTACTGTAATACAATTTATTTCTCCCCACTTCTACTTACATTCAACCCTATTAACAACATCATTGTATTTGTCTTGACTACCAGCTATCTTTTAAGGAAAGTTCAGAAAGAAAATGACAGTTGTTTATATGCAGTCATTATTTTTGATGCTTTTAACTCGTGACTGCACATCTGGTTTCCATAAGTTACCACTGCCACACTGTTGAACAAATGCATTTGACTTTTCTTTTTAAGATTTTATTTACTTTATCTATTTCTGTCTTTGTGTGTATTTGTGTGAACATATGCCATGTATGTGCAGATTCTAGCAGAGGCCAGAAAAAGGCATCAGATTCCCCCGGAGCTGGAGTTACAAGTGGTTGTGAGCTGCCATGTAGGTGCTGGGAATTAACCCAGGTCCTCTGAAAGAGCTACTAATACTCTTAACCACAGAGTCATCTCTCAAGCACCCTTGACTACTTTTTTACATTTATTTATTTTACATGTATGAATGTTTTGCTTGCGTGTATATGTGCACCACATACAAGCCTGGTACTCACGGAGGTGAGAAGAGGGCATCAGACCCTCTGCAGTGGGAGTTAAAGACAGTTGTCAGATGCCATATGGGTGTTAGGAATCAAACTTGAGTCCTCTGGAAAAGCAACAAGTGATCTTAACTGCTGAACTCTTCAGCCCCTTGAATACTGTAATGGTTGCTTTAAAGTATTTGCCTGGTAACTCTAACACATCTGTCATGCCAGGGTCAGTTTCTATTTAACACCTCTTCCCTTCCACCTTCTCCCTCTTCCTTCTGGCAGATCCTCACTGTGTAGCTCAGAATGACCTCCTGATCTTCCTTCCACTCTTCCTGCCTGAGCTTCCTGAAAGCTGCAATACAGGCATGTGCCAACATACCCAGCTCATTGCTTCTTTTTGATAGTGGGTCATATTTTCTTCTTTTTTTTCTTTAATGTGTGCCATTCTTTAAATTTTGTAGGAAATGTTTTGGTGGCTGTCACCCAAAGAAAGCTTTTAACACTAGCAGCTCTAACATTCTTTACTTTCTGTACTGTTTGCAATGTTTTTTGGTCCTCCTATTTTTATTTTCTTAGCTGAAATGTATTATTTATGTATCCATCTATCTTATTAGACCCATCTTTATTCTTTTTATTATGTACTGACACCTTAATTACTATTTAAATTCATCATAATGGACAAAACATAGTTGAAAAGAATGACAGGTTTCGAGCAAAACAGAATTGGATTTTAGTATTAATCCACCAGGATTAATACTTAGCTATTAATATTTAATAGCTAAGGTATTTCAAACAAGCTATAAAATTTGTCAGTTTCCTTTTTGGAAGTTTACTGTGTGTGTGTGTGTGTGTGTGTGTGTGTGTGTGTGTGTGTGTGTGTGTGCACGCGTGCGTGCCTGTCTGCCTCTGTCTCTCTCTATCTCTATCTGTCTGTCTGTCTTTGTCTCTGTGGGTCTGTGTGTGAGTATGGTCACCCCAAGAGGCCAAAAGAGAGAATCAGCTCTCCTAGAGTTGTAGCTATCAGTGGTTGTAAGCTGCCCAGTGAGTTGCTGAGACTGAACTCACGTCCTCTGGAAGAGCAGCAAGAGCTCTTAACCTGTGAGCTACCTCTCCAGCTCCCTAACATTCTCCCCACTCTGAACTTATTCCTTTTTAAAAATCATCATTTTACAAAAATCCCTATCTGTGGCTAGAGAGATGACTCAGTGGTTAAGAGTACTGGCTGCTGGTCTAGAGGACCAAGGTTCTATTTCCAACATTCACATGGTAGCTTACAATAGTCTGTAACTCTAGTTCTAGGGGATCTGATGCCCCTTTCTAGCACTTATGGACACCAGGCATGCACTTAGTACATATACACATGCAGACAGTCACACACAGAAACATAAATACAAAAATCTCCATCTTTCTATACTTTATAAATTTTAAGATAACATAAAGTTGGCCAGTGGTGGCCCACACCTTTAATCCCAGCACTCGGGAAGCAGAGGCAGACAGATCTCTGTGAGTTCAAGGCTAGCCTGGTCTACAGAGCTAGTTCCAGGACAATATAGCCTGTTACAGAGAGAAACCCTGTTTCAAAAATACAAAGCAAAAAACAAAAAGCAAACAAACAAAACAAAAAAATATTAAGCATTTAAGACATAGTATTCAATAAATTTTACCTCTTAGTTTTTAAAAGTGTTAATACACCGGGCTCAAGTTTTCTACATACCATAATAGACCTTAATACCTGCTTCGAAAAGCCACCAAGTACTTTAGCCCACTGACTTCCTTGACTCCCAACAACTTCCATTTAAATTTTAGTTATGCTTATTCTCATGCCACACGTAGAACCTGCCATCTGGAGATAGCATACTTTGAAATTTTATTTCAATATCCTTAACTTTTAGTCAGTCTCCTTTTTCCATTATCTCTTCTTTTAAAAATGCTTATTAAGCACTTAGCTCCTATTTTGTTTACTAAAATGAATGAGACAGAGTCATGTCCTCATGTAGCTCTGAATGTGACAAAAAGACAAATATGTATGCAGTCATACAATTAGATTGTTAACCTGTATACAGCTTAGGATGGATACCTAACCCAGCCTGGGGGCTCAGGCTTCTTGGAGATAAATAGGATTTTGCAAAATAAGCCAAGGAAAGGGAGCAGAGCACAGCATTCCCAGGAGCTATTTGTTGCATCCAATGAGAGTAGAGTGTAGAAGTCAGAGAATATCTGATCACAAAGGGCTTCACAGTAGATCTGTCAATGTTCCAGGTAATCATTGTCTACCTCTAAGAAGTGTGTGCAAAGATTCCCATGGTATTTAGGAGACACAGTTGATAAACACTGGACTAGACATTAGTCAAGGATGAAGAGACTTCAACAAGAATCCTGTCCTGTGGGCCAGTGAGAAGGCTTAGCAGATAATGGCACTTGCGACCAAGCCTGGAGATCTGAATCTGATTCCTGGACCCCACATGGTAGGAGAGGACTCAAGTTTCTCTTCTGATCTTCACACATGTGACAATGGCATGCTCTGCTTCATGCATTTACACACATGCTAATTGTTAAAAAAAAATTAAGAGTTATAGCTTCAGCAGCTGGTTGGCTGGTGGTATCTGTTACTCAGAGACACAGGAGCAATTTGGAAGGGCATGATGAGATTAGGGCTAGATTTGAGGTATTAAAGTAGAGATGTATAGTAGATAGTTGGATAAATAGGTCTATGTTTAAGAGTGATGTCTGATTTGGAGATAAAAATTATCAAAGCAAAGAGATGATGGAAGCTTTGAGAGAGGACATGATTGCTCAGAAAACATGTACAATCAGACAACAACACTAAAAAAATATACTGAGGTTTGATCTGTAGGCAGATATTTGAATCAGTGAACATTACTTTCCCTTCATTTCCTCCTCCCAGCTCCTCACCAGAAGCGGCCAGGTGCAGATCTTCCATCAAGAAAAGGAGTGAGCCTTTGGAGTCCTGGTGATACCCAAGGTATGAGCCGACTTGTGTTTGGCCATGGACCCCTCTGCCCAGCAGGTGGCGAAGGTGGGTAGAACTTAAAGCAGGGTGAATGGGGCTGTGAATGGAAGGGTGATTTGGCTCCACTAGCACCTCCACAAAGGCTGACTTCCCTGTGGCTATCTCTCCAGCAAGCAGCACCGGCTGTCCATTTGATAGAAGCAGGTCCACCACATACAAAAGTCGTTCAGTCTGCAGAGCAGGAGCAGGGCTTACTGTGGCAGTTCCAGATAGGATAGCAATCAAGCCACAAATTAGTTCCAGGGAAATTGTCTTAAAGCTATGAACAGGTTATGTATTCTTGTAATTGTGGAAACACCAAACAGAGTATGTGAACAGGTGGGCCTCAGGAGGCCCTCAAATATGGGCTACCCACTAGCATAGCTCCTTTCGCCTCAACCCAAGCTATTTCCTCACTGTCTTCATACCTGGGAAGTGGGCTGGAAAGTGCTCAGACTTCCTTTGACACAGCTGCTGAGGTAATGGCCAGCAAAGGGGACCAGTGTCCCATCTTCAAGATGTACATGTAGATCAAACACCAAGGCTGAAGGAGGTGGCTCAGGGTAGTTGGACAGGGAACTAATAGAATTCCTCATGAAGTTATCAAAGAGAGGCCAATACCTGCTCAGAGGACACACAGGCAAGAGTCAGATAGTCATAAAAGCTCCATCTATGACATTCATATACTTTATCATATCCCCACTGTAATGTCCCATGGATTCTAATTACCGCAGACCAGTCTACCACAGTTCTTTTCTATAATGTACTTCCCATTCCTGTGGTACCTGGAGGGAAGGTGTGCTCCAAAGCCCCAGATTGTGGCAAAAAGGAAGCTGCTGATAGCCAGCAAATGTCTCCTCTGCTTTTTATTCACACTGTCACTGTCAGACTGGGCCTTGCTCTTTGAAGATTTGAAGCTTTGGGTTGCAAGATCGCTGCCACTAAAATCTTCTGCAGTGGTCACCATGGTCAGAATAGGAATCCATAGAAAAAGACGATAGAAGGGAAAACAGAGGTTGGCTACATAACTTCTCATCACATTTAGTTCCCTGGACCAGCTTCACCAAGGAACCCATGTTTCTGGCTCAGGTGTAACCCAGTTACCCCTAAGATCCCAGCTCCCTCAAGAGCCAAGCTTTCAACCTCCCTACCTTGGACACGTGGCTTCTCCTCTTCATATAAGCGTAGGTGGGGGTCAAATAGAGCACGCAGGATGCGGGTCAGACTGGTGACTTCTGCCACACCTGGGCACACAGTCTGATGTCCATGTACCTGTAGCAGAGAGCTGGCACCTATGCGGGTAAGGAATCGTTGCACAGAAGGCACCAGGACTTCAGCTAGGTGGTTGAGCTCAATGATTGTCTCTTGCTGCAGATGGTATTCATGGGGTAAGGATGCCATCAAGACATTAAGCATGCACTGCCAAGTCTGCTCCCCACAACACCAGACTAGAGCACACCGGCCTACCACTGTAGGAGACATGCCACTTGCTTCTGCCACCTCCATCAAGAAAAAGGTACTGAGGGGCCGTGCTATCTGTTGACCATTAGGGAGACTGAGCTGGGGAGGGTCACTTAAGAGGCAAGTGATGGAGTCTATCCATGTAGAATTAGGGGCCCCATCACATACTATCCATTGCTGAATCCCCGTGAATTCCTCTAACTGCTCTTCTGAGCCCACACTCTTACACGGAGGGGCAGCATGAAGAAGTTTGGGGAAGATGCCATAATGCCAGGAGGGACCCTCTGACCACCCTAGGAATTCTTGGGTGCTGAGCACACTAGGATATAGGTGGGCAATTTCCACAGACTGGAAACCCCGGGTTGAGGTCTGTTCCATGGCTGCCAGCCGATTCTGAATCTTTAGTAAGCTCTTCCAACAAGTACTCTTGCCACTGCCTGCAGGGCCCAGGAGCAGAACACCAGAGGCCCTGCTCAGGGCCTGACTGAGCTGCTCCAGAGACGTCAGTGTGTGAGGGGTGGGAAGCAGGCCTAGCTGCTGGAGTTCTTCCACCACGACTGACCTCATCAGTCTGTGGGTCACAGGCTCTGCCAGCACGTGGCTAGCATTAGGGAAAATCCCACATAGTAGCTCTCTGAGCTTCTGCAGGCGGAGCCCATCAAGGATGCTGAACAGTGGTGAGTGCAATAGGGCATGCAATAGGGCAACCTCCTCAGGGGCAGCTAGGTTGTGGGGCTGCTGGGAATTGTCTCCCTCCTCAGTTGCATTTAGTGTCTGTTTTGTGTCTTCCAGTACCTGCTTGAGCAGTGACAAGCGACAGGGCAAGGTCCCAGACACTAGCTCACGCTCTAGGGAGAATAGTTTGGATAGGCGGATAGCCAGTCGAGAGGCATCCCGCACCCCTGCACTCAGCAGGTTAAGTTCTGCCACTCGTTGCAAGTCAGGCAGTGCAAATGCCACAGGACGAAGCAGCAGATGCAGATTGGCAGGCACATCAGGGCTCAGGGCAGGAAATGTCAGGAAACAGCCATAGCCAAAGCGCATGGACACACGATGCTTCTCAAAGAAACCAGCACCAAGGAATGGGGCCTTAGCAGGGTTTATGGTACTGATGTTTTTGGAAGCTTTCTGGTACAGTGGGGCATAAAGATGGTGTAGTTCATCCAGACGCTGGCCCAGTGCTGAGAGCAAGCTAGGAGGTAGTTGGTGAACGTTCTCCAACAGTAGCCAGGCCCCACTCTGGAGAGCACCATTCAGGTAATTGCTAAGACATCGGAACTCTATCTGGGGCAAGCAGGGCATCATTACCAGCTGGCGGCCCAGGGTCCATGACAAGCTATTCACCATTTCTGTCTTTCCCAAACCATCTCGGCCCAGTAGGGTCCCACAGGCCACCTCCTCCAGGGCCAGTAAGAGAACCAACACTTGCCGCTCATGCACCAGGCTGGGTAGAGGCCCCAGTTTGGGCCCCAGGTACTCATAATTATATATGAAGGACCGGCCGAGCACATCTACCCAGCATGCAGCTGGTGACAGAGAGGGCTCAGTAGATGCAATAGTCTTAAGACACTGCAGTGGGCTTTTGCAGTTCAAATGAGATGAGCCCAGGTGATACTTAAGTTGGCGGACCCAGTGGAAATCTTTCAGATCACTGACAAGGTGTTTCTCCAGGAGCTGTGCTACATCCCGATGAGTTACTGTCATGACCAGCAGGGCACTGAATAGGCTAGTCTGGCGAACAGAAGGCAGAGGTTGCTCACCCTGGGAGTGCCTCTGATCTCGCAGAAATTGTACCAGCACCTCCAGCTTGTGTACATGTATGGAAAATGTGCTCATGGTTCCCCGCTCAAACAGAACTTCCTCCATCTCAGCGCGCCACACTACCTCCTCTGCCACCAGTATACACTGCCATGGAAAAACCTGGACTGCATCTAGCCAGTGCTGGACATATAATTGCATGGGTACCTGTCTTTGTTGAGGCAGTGCCTTCAATGCCTTAACTAGGGATGGGCCTTTAGTAAGGCGGGTGGCCACACAGCTCTGCAGCAAGTTCACTATTACAAAACGCAGACACTTCTCCAGAGAGGCTAGCCACTTAGGAAGATCTGGATGTAGAGAAAGAGGACTCTGAAGCTCCACTTTCTCCCCAAATGCCCCTAGCACAGCAATCGTCTCCACTGGGATCTGTATGCTTGAGCTTGACTCCTGGCCATTCTTACTTTTCTCATCATTTGGGTAGGACCTGAAGTTCACAGCTTTAATGTGAGGAAAACAGCGCTGTGCCCATGGCTGGGCCTCACAGGTCTCTAGAGGGGCAGCAAGCAGGGCCACCAGTTCACTGTCACTGAGGAAGAAAAGGCGGGGGAAGTGGGCACATACCCCATAAAGGACATCCTCCAGAGCCATGATGATGGCCTCCAGCTCCACAGATCCTGCTTTCAGTAGTTGTTGTAGATGCTGACCTTGGAAGTAAGGGCTCCGCTTGGCATTGGGCACTATAAGTGACAGAACCATTGGGTCTGCTACAGAGATTCGCATTAGAGTCCGATATTGATCATCCATGACCTTGAAACGGGCATTCTGTGGTAAGAAAGGATGTAAGTGAGGGGTAATATGATAGCTCCACTCTTCCATCCAGACCCCTGATACCCAGGAGCTCTTGCCCACTTTCTTTAACACCCTTCCCTACCAGCTCAGCACCAGGAAACGGGATCTTCATCTCATGTAGAACTTTATTTAGAAAAATCCACTTCTGCTGGAAAGCCACCCACACCTCCAGTAGGGCACCTATGTAAGCAGTTGGAAAAATACTTGAGGGAGATTCTAAGGTTCTAACACCTTCAAGGGGTCCAGCATACATCTGACCTCTCCAGTGACTCACTAGCCCAACAGAAACATACTGTTCAGCAGAACTCAGGGATTGGATTAGAGGAAGTAAAACATTTACTAGAAATAAAAATTTGGTCATATCAAACCAAGGAGCCTGGAAAGTCCTTACTCTGTCCACATCTTCTATCTAATATCCACCCCCATACCTCTGGGCCAGTCTACATCAGGTTCCATCCATCCACCCAACTAGAGCCCTGTACTCACCTAGGCCATACATGATGGTCACCCACTCTAAAGCTGTTTTATGCAACTCTCCTGACTTTTGGATCGCTAAGATCTTGAACAGTGCCTGGAGACTGTTCTGAATGGCATCTTGCAGGCTGCTGTAGTCTTTGGAAGAAAAAGATGCACTGTCAAATTCAGTTAAGCTGGTACAGTTCTATGTGAGTCAAGGAGAGGGACTGGGGTAGGAAAGAGCATATCTTGATCTCCTAGGGGAGGCAATTGCCTTAATACCCTTTCTTTTTTATTTAAATTAAAAACAATTTTATTTTACATACCAATCCCAGTTCCCTCTCCTTCCAGTGCCCTCACCCTCTCCCCATCCACTCCTCAGAGAGGGTGAGGCTTCCCATGGGGGATCACCAAAGTCTGTCACATCATATGGGGCAGGATGGAGACTCTTCCCCACTGTATCTAGGCTGAGCAAGGTTTCCCTCCATAGGGAATAGGCTCCAAAAGCCTATCTTCAGAAATTGCATCAGCCCATAGAGTTAATATGGTAGAGAACTAAGATCTTAAAGCAGGCACTGTGGGTAGACTCTAAGCCAGCTGATTTCTCCCACCAGATACTGTCATGCTTATCTAGTTCTGTGGACATTCTTTAAGGCATCAGAGCTTCATCCTAGAAAGAGGCCTCATGGCTCCAAGTCCCTACATAGTATGTATGCAGCAAGAATACCCATTCTGGGATGACTAGGATCCTGGTAGAAAAGTTGAGAACAAAATTTCCTCTCATGATCTTAGTTCCTTGGGGCCACTTAAAGAGTTATCCCATAATTTTGTGTGAGACCAGGCCTGGGTACAGCATAGACACTAGAATTAACAACAGAATTGAGAGAGATTGGTTTGGATAGGTGTAGGACTCTGTCCATGTTTGAAAGAAAATACATAGTATCTTCATTTCAGAGTGTCTCAAGAGAAAATGATATTGGAAAAGTTTGGGTCCTCTGTTTTATCCCCTGTTTAAATGACCCCTGAACAGTAGGGAGGCATAAAGACCCATCTGTTTTGCTTATCTAAGGAATGTGGAGCAGACTACAAATCCCTATAGTTACTTACCCAAGAGCTTGGATGCCACTTTTCCTTTATATACCCACACAGACCTCAGATTCTAGAGGCTAAAAGAGGTTGAGTAAAGTCTTAATCTAGTTATGTCTGCCAACATATTTATATTTTAAAAAATTTTCATATGGGATATTTTGAATGTTGAACTATCCTTTTCATATATGTCCTTCTTAATTTTGTTAAGAATATAAAAGGGAGAGTAAATGATTAGTAGTGTCACTAACCCTACAAGAACATGTCTTCCTGGGGTAAGAGTTAAATACATAAGTATTCACCATTTTGGGCTCATTCAGGCAAGTGAAGTCACTAGTTTCACAGTGTATGGCCACCATAAAATATGTCCTTGGTTAATATACCCAAAGCTGAGGCAGAAGCCTAATACACATAAAGGAGAAAACCTGTAGGGAGAAAATGTCAAGCATATAATATTCTGTGTGAATTAGAGGCAGAGGAAAAGCTGGATAGAAAGTAGGCCAAGGACTGTGAACTCAAGTGAAGATTGGAGAAGTCTACTTAGTACCTGAAGTTATACTTAGAAGTAGTGCAAGAACTAAACTTCACAAACAAATCCATAGTTTATACTCCACTAGTTTTTAAAATTACTTTAGTAGCAGAGGAATCTAAGGGTGATACAGGAAAGTAGGCTAGAACAAAGAAGCAAATTGACAAAGTGTGGAACCAGGGTCAAACATGGGCAAAAAGATCAGCATAAAATGTACTCATGTCAAAAGTGGGAAGACAATGTCCTTTGAATTATGGTGTATTAACTATAGATATCTGGTCTTAATATGTTTCAGGCAATACTGAAAATGTCCTAAATAAGAGAGATGTGAACAAGAATTGTATGTAAAAACAGATAGGTAAGATATTCCAGAGCAAATACTGCACATGGATGTGTGATAAGGAAAAAGATTCCTGTTATAACAAAAAGGCATATCCCCCTCTTCTACAACAAATTTGCAATAGCTATACATTTTGCCCAGACAGACTCATAAGTAGCCCAAATGCATGCACTTTCTCATTCTCCATTGCTACCATTCTAGTGTAGGTCATTATTGTTTTCCACTTGAGTTACACCTGTTGTCTTTTAACTGACCTTCCAGTCTCTATTCTTTGCCTCCCAATTGAACTAAAATCTGATCTTATCACTTCCCTACAATAAAACATTCTCCACGATTTAAATATTACTGAATAAATTATTTTGCATTGTCTGACCTCTCTAACTGCACATGCCTGTTTCCTGTTCTGTGAGTTGGAAGATCCTCTAGTGGATGCTCCCCCATTCTATCATAGATATACTGGCTGAATTAATTGGAAATTTGTTGCTAAGGAGGGAGAGATTTATTTGAGTTCATAATCTCAGAGGTTTTACCAATCGTGGCGAGGAGAGTAAACACAACAGTTTACATCATGGTGACCAGGAAGCAAAGAAAAGGGAAAATGGGAAAAGCCAAAGCAAAATATGGCTCTCAAGGATACATCCCCAGTGAACTGTTTCCTCCAATTAGACCTCATCTTCTATTTCTCCCACCCAACAATGCCATGGCACAATGGATTCATCTGTCAAATACAAAAATTCAACAGAACCGCATAAATCTCAAGCTATTATTTAGAATATTCTAGAATATTCTAGCATTTTTGCTCTAGGTTGAATTATATGCCTGATTAAATACAAGTTAAATGAATATGATTTTTGTTATGTCACAATATTAATTATATAATGTAATCTAACAGAGTTGTAACTACTGGAATATGTGTGATAAAAGAGTTGCTGCTTTTATGGAAACCATGGAAGATAAAGGTGAGCTAATAAAAAGTTCTTGTTCTTAGAATAAAATGTTAGCAAATATTTTAGCTAAAATAAAAATCTCAAGTCCTAGCTACCTACCTACTTACCTATCATGATTACATATTTAACTAATTTCTTGGATTCACTGATACCAGTTATGTTGAATAAGAGAATTTCTCCTACCAGCAATGTCCAACACATTTTCTCAGATGCTTTTTGTCATAGTTAGCTTCAGATCTCAACTAGACACATCTGGGAAGAAGGAACTTCAGTTCAGGAATTACCTTCATCTGTGGGCATATTTGTGGATATTTTCTTGACAACTAATTTATGTAGGAGGGCCCAGCCCATTGTAAGCAGACCCATACCTAGGCAGGTGGGCCTCAGCTATATAAGAGAAGTAACTGAGTAAGCCAACAAGCCAGTAACAATAATTCCTCTGTGATCTTTGTTTCAGTTCCTGTCTCCAGATATCTGCCTTGAATTCCAGCCTTGGCTTCCCACAATGATGGCCTGTTACCTATAAGCCAAATAAACCCTTTCTTTTCCTAAGTTGTAAAAGTTCTGTTTCCTGTGTGGAATGTTTTTATCACCTTACAAGTCTGACAAACTTCTTCAAACATTAGGCTGGGGCCACTGCCTAAAGAAGTATTTTTCTTAATAACCCTGGTTATGGACCCCCATCCCTGGGCCTCTCTCTGCTAGAGGCCTCAACTGGAGAGTGCCAGGCCCCAGCTAGATTCACCTATCTGTGTGGGAACATCCTGAGTCCCTGCCTGATGGATCTTTGACCCCATTGCTGGGCCTCTGCTAGAGGTGAGTCTGGGACCAATTAGGGTTGAATCCCCACATACCCTTCCCTGGAAACTCCCTGGATTGGCCCCTAATCTCGCTTCCTGTCCTGTCTCGCTGTGTCCTGTCCCCAGCGACAGTGCTCCTGGTGCTCTGATATACCCCTTCCCCCCCCCCCCAAGAGCCTGCCCTCTCCTTCTCCTGTACCCTACCCTGCCCACTGTCCCACCTCTCTGGTTGAGCACTGGGACAGAGGGTGGAGCCAACAATCCTGCCACCTTCGGGGAACTTCCTGGAGCTGTTCTGCACACACTATTCCTGCCTATCCACGTGGGACCACCTGGAATCCCCACCTGCCTGGTCTCTGACTCCCACCACTTGTCCTCTGCTGGAGTTCAGGGTCTCTCCCAGAGATCCACCTATCCCTGCAGGACCATCATGAGTCCCTGCCTGCTGGATCTTTGACCCCCACTGCTGGGCCCCTGCCTGAGGAGAGACCTCCTAAAGTGCTTGAACCACCCAGAGCTACAGACATCGAACCTCTGACCCACCTAAGCCCACTGGGGGAGTACCATAGAGAGAGAGAGACCCCGCCTGCACCTACCGGAAGAAGCGATGGGAAGATGGCAATACAAGAAAACACCTAACAATAGAAAGATAAGCATGACACCACCAGAATACAATCTAGGGACTCTATACCAACTAGACCTGAACACCCCAAAGCAGAGGAAACAGGAGAGAATGACTTAAAAAATATCTTTGTAAAAATGATAGAGGCCCTCAAAGACGATGTGAGAAAATCCCTTAAAGAAAAAACAAAAAGTTGGAAGAAATGAATAAATCTCTTAAAGAAAGTACAGAAAGCCAAGAAAAAAACAATAAAACAGGTGAAGGAAATGGTTCAAGACTTGAAAACTGAAATAGAGACAATAAAGAAAACACAAATTGAAGGAATGCTGGAAATAGAAAAACTGAGCAAATGATTGGGACATAAGCATAACCAGAAGAATACAAGAGATGGAAGACAGAATCTCAGGCGCTGAAGATAAATTAGAGGAAATAGATTCATCGACCAAAGAAAACTGTAAATTCAACAAATCCTTAACATAAAACATCCAGGAAATGTGAATCCAGCATGGGACTGACTCAGCCCCCTGAACATGGGTCTCACCTAGAAGGCCTGCACAATCTAAGGGACCTCAGACAGTGGAACCAGGATGTATTCCTGGTGCACAAAAGGTCTTTGGGGGCACATCCCCCATGGAGGGATACTCCCTTAACCTAGAGACAGGAGAGAAGACCTAGTCCCTACTTCAAATGACTTGACAGATTTAGATGGCCCCTCCTGGAGGGCATCGCCCTACATGTGGAGTGGGGGGGGAATGGGAGGGGAGGGTGGTCGGGGGACATGAGAGGGTGGGAGAGAGGGAAAGAGGGAGGGTGGGAGAGGAAACTGGGATCAATATGTAAAATAAAAATAAAGAAATACATATAAAAATGATAGTAATCTGTTAAAATGGGCTATGACTTTCTATTGTTCACAGAACAAAATCTAGCACTGTGAATCTCCATAACTTGACCCCATCATGTTGATTGCAAAATAAAGTCTAATTCAGCAAGAAAAAAAATAACCCTATGTCTTTGAACTGGTCTTCTCTTATCTACTGCCCTCAATATGGTAGTCTATCATGCATTTAAATGTATGGTGTTGGCTGGGCAGTGGTGGTGCACATCTTTAATCCCACATGCACATCTTTAATCCCGCAACTCGGGAGGCAGACACCAGCAGATCTCTGGTTCAAGACCATTCTGGTCTACAGAGCTAGTTCTAGGACAACTAAGGCTACATAAAGAAACTCTGTCTTGAAATAAATAAATAAACAAACAAACAAATGTATAGTGCTATTAGTTTGAGGGATATAGAGCAGCGTTTGTTAATCTTGGAATGCCTGTTATTTGACACAAAGGAGGTCCATGAATTTAATGAGGGTATAAATAAAAAAATAGCTTTGTCTTCCAACAAGGTGGCCAATCAACAGACCTGCATATCTTCATGAAGACCCTGATGGGCAAGACCATCACCCTAAAAGTTGAGTTCATTGAGACCATGGAGAATGGCATGGCCAAGATGGAAGACAAGGAAGGCATCCCACCCGACCAGTAGTGGTTGATGTTGCTAACAAGTAGCTGAAGGATGGCCCCACACTGCCTGACTACAGCATCGAGAAAGAGTACATCCTGCACCTGATACTGTGCTTTGCACGATGGCATCACTGAGGTATCCTTGATGAGCTCACCCAGAAGTACAACTGCCACAATCTGCCACAAGTGTTATGCGTATCTGCATACTTGTGTAGTTAACCGCCACAAAAAGTGTAGCCATTCCAGCCCCAAGAAGAAAGGTAAATAAAGCTGAGATCTTGCTTGGTCCAAGGCTCAGGGACTCAACAGAGTCCTCTTCTATCAACTGGGAGAAAAGGAATGAATGGATGGGTGGGTAAAGCATAAACTCAGCAGGGTAAAATACAGAGGACAAAGCATTGACAAGTGGAGAGAAATAACCACAAAGACTTTTTCCCTTTATTTTTTCCAAGACAGGGTTTCTCTGTGTAGTCCTGGATGTCCTGAAACTTACTCTGCAGACCAGGCTGGCTTCAAACTCACAAAGATCTGCCTGATTATGCTGGGATTAAAAGCATTTGCCATCACCGCCCCTCTTTTTTTAAAAAAATACTCCCCAAATAATTCCACAAAATAGAAACAGAAAGACCATTACCAAATTCATTTTATGAGGCCACAGTTACCCTGAAACCTAAACCACACAAAGACTCAACAAAGAAAGAAAATTACAGATCAATTTCCCACATGAACTTAGTTGCAAAAATACCCCAAAACAGAATCCAACAACACATTAAAAGATTATTTACCATGGTCAAGTAAACTTCAACACAGAGATGCAGGAAAGGTTCAACATACAAAAATCTGTCAGTGTAATCCAACATATAAACAAACTGAAAGAAAAAACACACAATCATCTCATTAGATGATGAAAAGTCTTTAGTAAAATCCAATACCCCTTCATGATAAAAGTCTTGGTGAGATCAGGAATACAAGGGACATACCTAAACATAATAAATGCAATATGCAGCAAGCTGACAGCCAATATCAAACTAAATGGAGAGAAACACTAAAATCAGGAACAAGACAAGTCCACTCTCTTCATATCTATTCAATAAACTACCCAAAATTCTAGCTAGAAAAATAAGACAACAAAAGGAGATCCAGGGGATACAAATTGGAAAGGACATCAAACTACTACTATTTGCTGATGATATGATAGTATACATCAGTAACCCTTAAAATTCCTCCAGGGAACTTCTACAGCTGATAAACATTTTCAGTGAAATGCTGGATACAAAATAAACTGAAAAAAAAAACAAAACAAAACAGTAGTTCTCCTATATACAAATGACAAATGGACTGAGAAAGAAACTAGAGAAACAAGACCTTTCATAATACCCACAAATAATATAAAATAGTTTGGTATAACTCTAACCAAGCAAGTAAAAAACCTGTGTGGCAAGAACTTCAAGTCTTTGAAGAAAGAAATTGGAGAAGAATTCAGAGTATGGAAAGATCTCCCATACTCATGGATTAGTAGGATTAAAATTGTAATAATGGCTATCTTACTAAAGGCAATCTGCAGATTCAATGCAATCCCCTTCAAAATTCAAACACAAGTCTTTACAGACCTTGAAAAGACAATATTCAACTTCTTATAGGAAAACAAAAAATCTGTGATAGCTAAAACAATCCTGTACAATAAAAGAACTTCTAAAAGTAACACCATCCTTGATTTCTAGCTGTACTACAGAGATGTAATAATAAAAACCACATGGGTATTGGCATAAAAACAGGTTTATCCATGGAATAGAACTGAAGACCCAGATGTAAATTCACTTAATGTGGACATCTGATTTTTGATAAAGAAGACAGAAATACACAATAGAAAAAAGAAAGCATCTTCAACAAATGGTGCTGGTCTAACTGGATGTCAGGATGTAGAAGATTGCAAATAAATCCATATCTACCACCCTGCACAAAAAAAAAAAGTTTAAGTGGATCAAACATTTCAACATAAACCAGATACACTGAATCTGATAGAAGAGAAAAGTAGAGAATAGCCTTGAACTCATTGCCACAGGAGATAACTACTTGAACAGAATACCAATAGCACAGGTACTAAGATCATCAATAAATAAATGGGACCTCATGAAACTGAAAAGCTTCTGTAGGCAAAGGACATTGTCAAAAGGACAAAATGCAGGGTATAGGATGGGAAAAGATCTCCACCAACCCCACATCCAACAGAGGGCTGACTGTAAAAATATAAAACTCAAGAACCTAGACACCAACAAACCAAATAATTCAATTAAAAATGAGGTAAAGATCTAAACAGAGAATTCTCAACAGAGGAATTGCAAATGGATGAGAAATACCTAAAGAAATGTTCAACATCCTTATCCATCAGAGGGTTGCAAATCAAAATTATTCTGATATTCCATCTTACACCCGTCAGAATGGTTAAGATAAAAAATACAAATGACAGCTCATTCTGGTGAGGGTGTGGAGCAAGAGGAACACTCCTCCACTGCTGGTGTGAGTGCAAACTTGTACAGCCACATTGGAAATCAATATGGCAGTTTATCAGAAAATTTGGAATGAATCTACTTCAAGACCCAGCTATAGCACTCCTAAGCATATACCCAAAGGATGTCTACCTGTCACAAGGACACTTGCTCAATTATGTTCATAGCAGCTTTATACATTCAACTCTATCCATGTTCACTGATGCTCTATTCATAATAGGCAGAAACTTAAAACAACCTAGATATCTCTCAACTGATAAAGAAAATGTGGTACATTTATATAATGGAGTATTACTCAGCTGTTAAAAAAACAATGATATCATGAAATGTGCAGGCAAATGGACATAACCAGAATAGTTGATTCTCAGTGAAGTAACCCCAAAAGACAATCATGGCATATACTCATTTATAAGTGGGTATTAGCACTAAAGGATAACTATTCTACAATCTACAAACCCAAAAGAAACTAAGTAGCAAGGAGGGTTCAAGGGGGACACATGAATGTCACTGTGAAGGAGAAATAGAACAGACATCACAGGTGGATGGGGGAGGGATATGGATGGGGTGTGGGAATAGGAGGGATCAGGTGAGGGGAGGGTGGAGGGGAAGAGCACTGGGAGAGACAGCTGTAGTCAGGGGCATCTCTGGGATGAGCTAAGAACCTAGTGCAATGGGGATTCCCAGGAGTCTATGAGAGTGACCCTAGCTAAGACTCCTAGTAGTGGGGAATACAGAGTCTGAACCAGCTATCTCCTGTAACCAGGCAGTTCCTCCAATGGAGGAATTGGGAACCCTCCTCCCCCAACACAGCCACATAACCTTTGCCCTGCCTACAAGATGTGCTGGGGTAAAAATAGCACAGAAATTATGGGAATGAACAACCAATGACTGGTCCAGTTTGAGACCCATACCATGAGCAGAAGCCCTTCCCTGACAATGCCTGGAGGATCTGGATCCAGAAGCTGGACAGCCCAGAGACCAAGGATAGAATCTAACATGACTGGCAATAAATAAATAATCACTGAAATGATTCCTAATGATATTCTGCTATTCTTATAGATCATTGCCTTGCCCAGTTGTTGTCAGAAAGGCTTCACCCAGCAACTGATGGAACCAGATACAGGGACCCAAAGTGAAACATTTGGTGAAGCTTGGGAAATCCTGCAGAAGAAGGGAAGGAAGAATTATGGGAGCCAGAGGGGCTAAGGACACCACAAGAAAATCCATAGAATCAACAAATCTGGGCTCATAAAGGCTCCCAGAGACTGAACTGCCAACCTGCATGTGACTGACCTAGGCCCTCTGTCATGTTAGTCATGTAATGTGGTCTTCTTGTGGGACTCCTAACAGTGGGAGCAGTTTTTTTTCTGACTCTGTTACATGCTTTGGGGACACTTTCTTCCTACTGGGTTGCCTTGTCCAGCCTCAATAGGAGGAGGTGTCTAGACTTACCACAACTTGATATGCCATGGATGGCTGATATACATGAGAGCCCTGACTTTTTCTGAAGAGAAAGGAGGAGTGAATGGGGATGGGGTAGGGGAAGGATTGAGAGGAGAGGAGGGAAGGAGGGGAAACTGTGATAGGGATGGAAAAAATAATTAATTAAAAAGAAGAGTTCCTGCAAAGATTAAGACATTAAGAGAGCTTGGGAGATACTGTCTCAACACATGGATGCCTCAAGCTGTGATTAAGGATTGGGGCCTGACTACAGGAGCCATATTTGGTAAATGAGCAAAGCCTTTAGCTGGAGGCATTCACTGGATCACAAAGGCTGAGACTCACCTGAGAGGAGGAAGGTGCCACTGTCCTTGCCCACTGACTCCCACCGGGGGCTTCGGAATGCCTGCCTTTTGGAACGCTCTGAGGCTGGGGGCTTGTAGGGCACATGCAGGATGAAGTTGAGCAGGCGCAGTTGGCGGCCCTCCCAGTACTGCTGCATCTGCTGTAAGCTATCTTGGGCATGAATTCGTTCCTTATCATGCTGCCACACCTGGAAAAGGTATGTCACAGAAAGCAGAACTAGCAGGTGGCCAGGAAAGACAGTGTTGGAACTGGGACTTGAGGATTGGATCTGAGGCAGAACTCAAGGGCCTGGAGTGTGGGGGTCTAGACGAAGGAGGAGTGGACCCATCAGGCTTCAGTGATGTCCCAACTTCCCTCTCACCTACATGCCAATCACTTTCCCCATAGCCCAAGGAACTAGTAGGCCTTGACTGGCTTTATTACAAAATATGGTTCCAACCAGCCCCCTCCTCCTTGTGGGCTCCACCTGATTGATTCGGTCTGAGAATTCCAGCAGTGGACAGTTGAGCAGCTGGCCCAATGGGAGAAGGTCAAAGCTTTGGAGACCGCCCAGCCCTAACACTGGAATAGAATAGGCAAGTCAGAACAACATCTAGCACATGGTTCAATGGAGCTCATATCCCAGAGCTCATTTCTACCCTGAGCCAGGACCAGCTTGGACTGCAGTGCAAGATCAGGAGTACAACACAAGGCCAAGAACCCAAAACCCAAGGGTCAAGCACAAATCTGAAACTCCAACCCATGTCCAATCCCATCAGTTGAGAGACCTTGTGTTGTAATGAGGTAGCAAAGAAATGCGTTCCTCCTGGATGAAATGAGTTTAGCATATGTGGGAAAGAGGACACAGGGTTTCCAGCAGGAGCAGAAGGGGGATTGCTCTAAACACTGTGCCTTTCCCATCCCTCTATCCTGTCTCTAGCCAAACACACCTCTCAAGAGGGATTGGGAGTTAAAATTCTGAAGCTGGAGGCCGCCCAGCTTGGTGAGCAAGGGCAGGTAGCTTCGAAACTCCTCTAGCATGCGCATACAGCGTTGTAGCACTGGACTGTGCAGCCCCAGGGTGGTGCTGAGCCGTGCAGCCTCTGTCAACCAGGCATCTGTCTTCTCTCGGGCCATAGAAAGACTGAACTGCACAGAGAAGAATTCACTGTCAGACTGACCCCCACCCACTCTGCCTGGCCGGCTTCTACTCTAGGTGAGAGCTCCCAGAAGTACCTTGGTAAAAGCCATGCACTTCCACTCACTGAAGTTTTCAGAGATGATTCGGTAGAGCCTCCAGATGCGCTGCTGCAGTACAATAGGTCGGCTCCCAGAAACGGGTGGGGACATAGGACACTCATTCCCTGTGAAATAAGACTGGCTGAGGCTTGGGTTATTGGAAGAATGGGTTAGTGAAAAGCCCTTAATGAACAAAAGTTAAAAAAAAAAAGATGGTGTGGTACCTATGTAAATCTTTCAGTTCAACAATAGGAAATGGGGCCATCTAAAGAGCAATTGTTTCAAAGAAAGGATTCCTGGGCAAACCACACAGTGCTAAAATAGAGCTTCTCTTCTATTAGTCACTAGCTCATCCACTCAATTCCAATTGCAGTGAACTTGACTACAGCTCAGATATACCAGTCACACTACCTTCTGCCAGGGCCTTTGACTGGCAGTTCATTCTTCATAGAAAACTCTTGCCACAGAGAACCACCATTCACACCTTCACCACCTCTAACTTCAAATTCTTGTTTGAATAATACCTATCCCATAAAACATTGTTCTCCACTCATTTGGCATTTTCAGACACTCTTCTATGTTTATTTTTTCTAGGTTACCTATCGCTTTCTAATGTGCTGCATAATTTAGTTATATTTTATAATTATTATCTATCATCTTTCTTCTTCAGCGGCAATATTGGGTCCATTATAGAAGATGTTTTGTCATTTGGTCACTGATGTACTTTGAGTTCAATACATGGCAGGCACTAACCAAAATGTTGAATGCATGAGTAAGCGAATGAAGATGCTTATTAAAACAAGAGGATCTAAAGGACTAGATTATTTTTACAAAAGCTGGGATTAGGTGAGAAGCTGGGGACAGAAGAAGGAAGTGAACACACTGCTATACAGTTCTCTGAACCTAATACCACTTGGCCTGACTCCTCTACCCTGTGTTTGTTTGTTTGTTTATCAATAATTTAAACTCCTAATGGGAAGGGTCAAGTCTATAGTTGATATCAGTTAGGATATGGGCTGAAGGCTTCCCATAACTAAAAGAGAAAAATTCCTGATGAAGGATGGCTCTAAAGCATCTCCCATTTTACCTGGCCATAAGGCCCAGTTGATAGCTGACCAAGGAGCAGCTCACAATGCACCCTCCCAAGAAATAAGTGACTGTATATGAGAAAACAGCCCATGCAGTTACATGCAGAAGGGAACCAGCACAGCTACCCTCCTGTAGTGTCCTGGTCTCAGACCAATGGCTTTGTTCCAGTTGGCTCCTGTGGGACAGTAAGACCCTCACCAGTTTTGTTTCTAGATACATACGTTTGTTGGCTGGAGACAGTGGTTACCATATCAAGATCTTGACTGTTCTTTTCTATGACCTGCTGCTTGGAATTGGACAACACTGACCAATGCTAAGTTTTCCAATGAGTGTACACGTTCTCCCTAATCAGCACTGAACCCAGGGGTTTAATCTAATGAAACATTCAGCTATTTGTTTTCCCTACCAGACAGTGAACTTCATGTATCCACTAGCATAACACCTGAGACAAAAAATAAGCCTTTTTTTTTTTTTTTTTTTTTTTGTCCTGCAGTTTGTTCATAAAAGAGACTAGTGGAGGTACTGATTCCAAAGGCTTGCTTAGGACCACAGAAGACACAATACCTGGAGTTCCAACCCTTATCTTAGTTGGAGGGTCCATCATAGGGTGAAAGAGGAGAAAGAAGGTGAAGATCAGTACCAGTAAAGGTGTTGTAAGCATAACGTAGGTCATTGAAATTTTTTAGTATATTCAAGAACTGATGCTCCAAGGCAGTAAGCTGGTGCTCGGTACTCCTCTGTTCCTGTGAAGGATCCATGAAGGGACCAGACAGAGCCTTTGCCAGCAGGCCTTCCAGCTCTGCCAATGCTGCTGCCATCAGCTGTTGCAGCTTGGGCACAATGGAATGTTGCTTACTAAGCAGGAACTCTGAAGCCTGGCTTCTCTCAAACTGAAATGCCTCCCATAGGTCCAGAAGCTGTGGGGCAAGCAGAGGACAGTGAGATATGGTTGTAGAGTGGTGAGGCCAGTAGGAATGAATGATAACTTGAATTGTTCTCTCACCGAAATATCTAGAGTCTCATTCTCAGCAATAAAAAGGCCACAGTGGTTGCGGATGAGGTCATGGAGTGATCGGACATATTCCACTCGCTCCTCCAGCTGGCTGTATTGCTCATTAGCTTCATTCAACTGCAGAGATTACAGCATGAGACCAGCACCCCAACAACCCTGACCACTTCTTTAGACTCACCCTCAAAAGGCAATCCCATTTTCCAGAGTGGGCATCTGGAGGCTCCAGGCCCAGCTTCAGCATTTAAACCATTCAAGATAGGAGAGTTATGTAGGATCAGAGTCCCTTTTGACTTAGGTCCTAAAGGCAGTTTAGTTTTTTATCTTCTAGACTTGATGACAAGGCAACACATCTCTAAATTACCTACTGACCCAAGGAAAAGAACCATACCTCTTAAAGCAGTGGTTCTCAGCCTTCCTAATGCTGTGCCCCTTTACTACACTTCCTCAAATTGTGCTGATCTCCAACCATAAAACTATTTCATTGCTACTTCTAACTGTAATTTTGCTACAGTTATGAATCCCAGTGTAAATATTTGTGTTTTCTAATGATCTTAGGCAACCAGTTTGGGCTGTTGGATGCCCAAAGGGGCCTCGCCCCACAGGTTGAGAATACTATCTTATAGAAAGACTCTCTTGTCTCTTCAGGATCTGCTCCTGACATGTAGAAGCAGAGCACTGCACAAAGAGGGCAAGACTCAGCAAGGACAGATGACATATGTAAGCATAGTTCAAGCTCATCAAAGCCTGTAAAGCTCAACAGAAATCTAAAAAGAGTGTGCTGAGCCCTTGAGCAGGCAGGGGCCCCAGATATATGAGGAAGAAAGGATGAGGAGACTGTACCTTCTGGGAGCACTGTGCAATGGCATGGATGTCTGAGTTGATGGTTTGGAAGACCCGTAAGAAATCTGTCAACTCTGTCATCAGCCGCTGATTACGGCTCCAGCATTCACTTTGCACCTGTGCAAGAATGTTCTTCCTCATGCTGTTTAACTTGGATTCTGGAAACAAGAGAATATTGTGTTAGAGGATGTGTGGAAAATAAGTATATAAGAATTAGTATACAAGAGCAAATGGGCAAACAGGAAGTTTCCTCATAATATGACAAGAGGTAAACACGTGAGCTTAAAGGGATAATCACAAGGGGTTCTCACAGTGTGATAAATCACTGAGTTTCCTGGAGCCCTCAGCCCACCATAGTGAAGGGAAGGGGACCCTGAGAAGGCTTGAGGAGGTCTCTGCTGTGGAGGATATTGAAATGATTGTATGAGTAGTTTAACGCTCCAAGAATGAACATGGAAATACATGTTCATGAATAGGATGTCCTTGTCTGTGTTTTGGAGTCTTTCTTCTTGCAGAAGGGATACCAAGAAGAGTTTTAAAGCTGCCTTTTTCTGTTTTTTGTTTGTTTGTTTTATCTTTTTTGCTTGTTTGGGTTTTTGCATATGCCACCAAGCCCAGCTTCTTTTTGAAGATTAAAGAAATACAATTAAGGTAGATAAAGGCTTAGAAGATAATCTGCTCTTGGTAATATGAAAAGGCTTCATTGTCTGGGGAAGCAGGAATAATGGGGTTGTAGAGCTATCTAAGATGGGTAAAGGTACTTGTCAACAAGCCTGACAACATGAATTTGGTAGAAAGAGAGAACTGACTTTTTTTTAATGTCTTCTGACTTACACACCCACACAATCATACTTGCACATACATTCACCATGACATGGGAACACACACACACACACACACACACATACGATAAATATATAAATGTAACTTTTATTTTTATTACTTTTAATTGTGCATGTTGTATATAGCAGGTATGTGCATGACAGTGGGTGTCAGAGGAAGCCAGATATATTCCATTTCTTGGAGCTAATCCTGGGAGGAATGCTGGGAGCCAAACTCAGATAACACACTCTTAACCACTGAGACATATCTCTAGCCCCAAGTGTAATTTTTAAAAATAAGGCTAAAACAATATTCATATGACATAATTCACTGACTTAAGATCTTACTGGTTATAAAAAGGACATCATTATTTTACATACTACTGAAAATGGAAAAAAAACCTATGAAATACTGCAATGCTTTAAGACATTTCTTAAGTTTAGATATGCTAAAATAGGCATAGGATATCAAAATGCAATATAAAAATATGGAATACCTCAAAATCCAGTACTAAGTACTTATTGTATGCCAGACATTATTTCAAAATACTTCACATGTATTAACTCATTTTATCCTCATAGATTCCCTTTCAGTAAGTACTATTATTTGTACTTACTTTATAAATAAGCAGAAGCACAAAGAGGTTAACTGTACATAATACAATGATAGAATAATGATTCGTACTTAGAGAGCTTTGTTTTATTCCAGTATAGCTTAGGTTACAAACAATATAGAATTAGACATGTATACATGTAGCCTGTGGTATACACATATATCTTACATACACTATTATAATTTTATTTTATAAACTATATAATGTTATGTAAAAGTAAATACACTTACCTCCAATTAGCATCTATGCAACTGGGTGGTAGAATAGTGAGTTTGGAGGCAAATAACTGAGATCCACAGTGTATGGCACTTTCAGAGACTTGGAAAGAGTATTCTCTTGGAAAGAGAATTAGGTACCAAGAGATGAAACTGATAAAACCTACCAAGAAGGAGCTTTTGAAGGGCACCTATGCCGAACAGAGCATTTCTCTTGGTGGTGAAGGTGGCTAAGTCACTGAATGATGCTGCTTTGGGACCAGGAGGACTAGGCAGGAGTGCAACAGTGACACCACATGGCATGAAAGAGCAGTGACATAATAAAACATTAGGGTTCCTTTGTCCACCAGCTGGATGGAGATGGACTAAGAAACTGATTCAAGACATAGTACAAGGGAGAGGAAGGGAAAAGACTTGATGATGAGTTGGGTGGGGTGTACTTCTCTATTCAAAGGAGCAGAGTTAGCAGATACGGTGATAAAATATGATCAACAAGAAACCTGAAGCAGAGAGAATAAGAGGAAATGAAAAAAATCACTGCCTATGTTAGCCATTTCTAGAAATAATTAAAAACCAAAACAAAAATTACTTTGTTTTCCTTCCTATAACCTTGAGTGACACAATTTAGCACAGCTTGTTTACAAAGAAACTGAAACTGTGTGGTCTTACATCACAAAGCAAGTGGGAAACAGAGCTAGGACACTAACTGTGAACTCAAGAGGCCAGTGTATCCTGGACTAAGGATCATGAATTTCATAGGCTAGGAAGACAACAGGCTCCTGGGGTAGAGCTGGGAAAAGCCTGCCTAAAACAAGGCCAGAAAGAAAGTGAACTAATTGCATCATCTTGTTCCTGCCTTGTCAGAACAAATCCCTGCCCAAGAATTGTAAGAAACTCAGTGAGGAGCAAAAGCCAAGGGGCTAGGCAGGTAGGGTGCTTTCAAGCAAATCAATCTTCCTCTCAACCCCACTGGGCCTGGATGCAATTTCTGTTTTGGAAGTAAGGGATCCTAAGGTAAATAACATGGAAGTGGTCAGCCTAAAACAAGTGGTAAGCCTGAGTAACAAGAAAAGAAAATTATTAAACACCAAAATTCTGCTACAGGAATAAGAGCCATGGTATTTCTGACTCAGAAAAGGTGAGAGCTGGAGAGATGGCTCAAAGGTTGAGGGAACTTGTTCTTATAAAGAATGGAAGTTTGTTCCCAGCATCCATGTTGGGTATGACTCCAGCTCCAGGTGATCCAGTGCCCTCTGGCCTCCACTGGCACCTGCACCACCCCCCAACACACACATTGTTAAAATACATTTAAACAGAAAAAGGAAAAATGGGCACAGAACACCCCACCACACACACACAAACACCAGCCTGGGACACAGCAGCACAAGGATCATCAATGTCAAGAGGGCTAGGACCAGGCAAGGAAATGTTACATTCTCTCCAGACACTGTACAACCCAGTGGGCTTCCCCACTGCCAGTGTGCTGTGGAAGCAAAATGGAGCAGGGAATACTTGAGAATAAAAATCAATGGTGCCAAGAATTCTGAACTAACCAAATGTTCAAAATAGATAAAAATGGACCAGAGTGCCTTCTTTAGATGAGAAGAGCCCTCATTAACTGGGAAGAGTGAGTTCTTTTGCCATTGTCCACAGAGGTTAAGACTGAAGAGTGAGACAAGAACGAAGAGTAACTTTTCACTCATGCAGATGGTGGCATAAATTTTGGCACCACAACATTCAAGAAAGGTGCACCCTAGTTTCCCAAGAATCTCTATGAAGAAAACCAGGTGCAGGCTAGCTTAATAATATTTGTTTATTTTGTTTTTTTTGTTTGTTTGTTTTCTAACAAGAATAGAAAAGTTTTCATCAACTGGCATATGATTCCTAATGAATACAGGGAATGAATGAAGCCAAACAGAGGCTGACCTCTGTGATAGCAAAGAGAAGGGGCTGGGAGCTAGAGCTTTGGAAGGCTCCAAAGGTCCCTGGAGGATATCCTAGTTCCAAGGCGACCTGCATGCATAGATGTAAGGAAGGAAGATGTAGGGAAGACAAGAAGCACTTACCCAACTCTGCTTGAACATCATGGCCACTCAGGAGCAGCAGCTTGCCTTTTGTCAGCAACTGGACAGGCATATTGGAGACACGTTCTTGCCACTCTTCCAGCTGGTTTACCAGTACTACATAGTCCTTGATGGGAGAGCCTCTTAGGTCCTCTAACTTCTGAGGACCCCAGGCTTTCAGGAACTCATAGATGGTTTCTACCCACTGTTGTTTATTGCAGAATTCCCGAACCTCCTGAAGCATGTCCTAAGGGCAGATAAAGTATGTAAGGCAGAGGCAATGGCTATGATGGGGCTGACAGCCAGCAGACCATTCCTTAAACCTCTGCTCTCACCTCCAGGAGTGCCTGTTGTATAGCCAATGCCTGTTGGATTCCAGCATTGTTGTCCAAGTCCTCCTGTAGGTGATTATAATTGGGGTGCAGATACTGACCCCGAAGCCGGTGCCCACGGACCTCAAGGACATCAGTAATTGCATGAGACTTCCAGGGCCACACAAATCCTACATTCGGACCACAGAAGAGGCGAACAGCATCGCTGGGCTTTCCATGAAACTTGGGCATCTGGAATTCTGCATTTACGTCCTGGTCTTTATCATCTAGTGAAGCACATGACACAATAGTTCATGAGTGCTCTCTAGAGCCCCACATAAACCTTCTCTCTACCCTAAATAAACACACTCATCATACACCACACTCCTATACCCTGCTTATGAGTAAGTCTATACATACATCATCAACATTAATTAACACAGTACAGCAAATCCATAAGAGGAGTGGATCAGCCAGAACTACATGCTGAGAACAGAATTTTCCTATAAGCAGGAAGGGAAATTATTACAACTTATCAAGTGGATTTCAGAGTAATTAGGAGATCTGAAAAGCAAAAATACTGTAGGCTGAATATCTAGAGTCTGACTGACTGTTTAGGGTATTGTTACCACAGTACCAACATCTGCAGAGTGGAAATATATTACATGCCTTTTCTCCAACTTAATTCTAAATTAAAAGCTCAGATAGTTCATTTGTAGCATCTACATCACCTATGCTGTCTAACTGCAAGAGGACTGGGAAGTACACTTAGGATCATCCTAGCTTCTACAGAATAGTGGAAGAGGGGGAAGAGGAGGAACAGATGCATTATTGAATATCCCAGTTCCCAGTATCCAACTTAAGAAATTATCCTTGGGCATGGCTTCTCCCCATTGCATTTTAGGAACTGGTTAATTGTCAGTGCTAATATTCTTAGTAAAAAGTCATGCCAGCAGAACAGCTGAAAATTCACATCTCAGAACTACAAACAGGAGGCAGAGAGCATACTGGGAAGTGTGGAAGATTTTTGAAGCCTTAATGCCTGGCCCCTTGACATCCTTCAACAAAGCCATACCTCGCCACTCCTTCCCAAATAGTTCTACCAACAGAGGAGCAAGTATTTAAGCATGTGAGCCTATAGGAGTCATTCTTAGTCAAACCAACACACTGACACATTAAGTCTACATTCAAACTATATCCAAAATCCAACTAATTCTCCCCACATCTACCATCATTTGACCAACCCCACCACAGTCAAGTCACCATTGTTTTTTGTTTGTTTGTTTGTTTGTTTTGTTTTGTTTTACTGCCATTACAGAGGCAAGCAAGCAAGCATAGGGATAGCATAGAAGTCTGAACTCTGCTTGTCTTAAACTACACACACATACTCCATTGCTAACAACCTGGATTCTCATGCTGCACTAAGTTGCAGTTGAAGTGTAGTGTTCATTTTAAACAATAAGTTATTCCCCTTAGCAACCTCTTGGCAACTCCCCTTTTGTGATTAGTTTCCATTCAAACATGTTGCAGAATATATCTAGGAACCAGAGGCAGGGGGCCAATCCAGCATGCACCAGTTTTGGATTCAGGCACAATAATGTGTTCTCAGTGACCTTTTAGTGTAAGTCCCCTATTTACCATTTATGCCTATTCATATTTAGGCATACATATGATTAAAGTCAGAGGGCATCATGGGAAAAATACACACAGCAAAGTTAGGCTTGCATAACCCAAGACTGCTGATTAAAACAAAGAATCAACCACACTATACCAGTTAGCAATAAGTCTTCTCAGACCCCATAAAAGGAAGCCATACTCAATTGGCACTGTATTCCAAGTGGCCCGCTGCTACCTTGCAGTATTTCCTGTACTATCTCTTTAAGTAAAACTCCTTCCTGCTTTGCTATTTACATGTGCTCTTTCAATACTTTCAATAAGATATTAAGAACTGGAAACTCCTGGTCCAGACAGCAATCCTTGGGATTCTAGTCTTTCCCTGCTTTGGCCTTGCCTATACTATACCTTTTAGCCCATTCCATATAGAAACAATAACAATGTTAATACCAGAAGGGATTCTGAGATGAAGGTTGTAAAAACCATTTTTGAAATCACCCCAAATCCTCACAGGAAAATAACAAAGCAATTAGAAACTCACCTATGCATAATATTTTAACAACTAGGGGAAAGGTACAAGTCCCAAAGTACCAGTGTATGGGAAAGCCACTCATGGCCTCAAGATAACAGCATTTATGAGCATGTAAAACACCAATACTTTTTGTCACTTAATCTAAACTTATTTTTGAAAATGTGCCCAACAAGTGTGATTTATATGTATTTATCTATATAAAATACAGGCTCCTTTTCCAGAACACTTTGCTTCTTACAAATGATCCCCTAAAACTAACCTCATCTCTCATTCATCATCCTGAAGACATACCAGTTGGGTAGAGAAAGTATAAGGCATCTAATCCTTTTAATGATTTTTTTAATGACAAAATTAGTACTCTGATGAAAGAGAATGTCAAAATGTATTTTCTTTCCGATGGTTAACTAAGTTGAGGATTAGAGCTAGAGAGATGGCTTAGTGGTTAAGAGCACTTGCTTCTCTTCCAGAGGACCAAGGTTTAATTCCCAGCATCCACATGGCATCTCACAACTGTGTAACTCTTGCTCCAGAAGAGTTGAAACCCTCATACATGCAGGCAAAACACCAATGCACATAAGATAAGAATAAATAATTTAAAAAGTTTAATCTCAATGTCTTAATGAATTGTCCTATAAAAAATAACACAGCCACATGAACTAAAGCAGGTGTTGAGCAAGCAGAACTTGTCAGACAAGCTCACATTATTTTAACAATCAAATTCAACAGTGAATAAAATGCAAGTGTGACATTAGAGAAACCTAGAATGTGGGGTGAACTGGAGGCAATGTACACACACACACACACACACACACCACCACCACCACCACCACCACCATCACCACCACACGCAATTACATAACCACATGACTTAGCAAGCATATATACATAAGCACATGAATTAGCAAGCACATGTACATAAGCACAAGAATTAATGGGCACAGCTTTCTCTAGACTCTGCTACCTCCCAACAGACAATGTACAGTACTCAGCTTATAGCTGCCCCATTACATCCAAGACCTGACCTGTGCTGAGCCTCTAATACATTTCCATGCCATTTACATTCTATATGTGCCCCTCCCCTCCATTCAGACTTCCTATCCCCTGTCTCTGCCCCTTTAAATACCTTCTGAATATGGGGAATCTCTGGAGGTCCTCAGTTCTGTAGACTGCACTACCTTTATGTTAGGAGACAGAGAAGGAAATAGAAAAACAATGAGGTTCTAAGCAGCTGAGAAGTTTGGATTCCACAGAAGATAGGATTAAGAATTCCCAGAGCCCACCCCCTGTACAATTCAGAAACCTTTAGGGCAGAGGTCTTGATAGACTGCAGACCCTTAGTAAGACTCTGGATTATAGTTTCAACACAAGGCATGGGAGACAATTTGCCATTGTCATCAAAGACCAGCTGTGATAAGAGAAAGGGGTTTTGTCTTGGAGCCTGTAAAAGAAGGACCAGGAGAGGTTACAGGGGTAGATGAAAGCACACATACACCCCACCCCTGGCCATGTAGTCTGGTCCTTAATTGACTTCCCATCCTACCCACCACCTTACTTGCAGAGTGTTGGCTACAAAGGAAGTTATTTCCTCTTCTAAGATGGAAACAAGGTTCTGACAAATCATGTAGTCAATCAGGCGGGCAAACTTTCCCATCTTCATCAACCATGTTTCTGCCTGCTTGAGCTTCTTCTCCAGATGCCTGCACAGCACCCTCTGAAGGTATATGGAGCCTTGGCCTTTCCTGATCCTGTTCCAGTTTTGCACTCTCTCTTGCAGGCCCTGCTGCATTTGGTACGTGTCTTCATGAACCTTTCAGGGTAGAAAGGTGAAACTCATTGGAGACAGATGGATAGGAAGTAAAGAAGCTACTCACCAGTCCCTGCAAGCAATGAGGTCTTGATGTCTGAAACCTAGAACTTAGATTTGCATGTGGAAGGCTACTTTTTAGTAGAGACTGGCTCCATATACTTTTAAATGACTTGAGAAGACACAAAAACAGAGGACTAATATTCAGAGGGCTCATGTGCTAATGTGGTAGGTCAGGCACACCTATGGAAAGGCTACAGGAAAGGGCAGTTGACCTTGGCAGCACATACCTGTAATCCCAACATTTGAAATAGGCAAGAATATTGGGAGCTAAACATCAGCCTGAGTTATAATGAGACCATGCCGCAAAACAAATAAACAAACTCCAAAATGGAATTCAACTAGAAAAAGTTGAGTATAGGGACACGGGAGTGTTACAAGGCAAAGAGCAGAAAAAGACTGCATGATTAAAGCCAGCAATGACTGCAGGATTTGGACTATAACCATTAGGCCTGGGATGGTAGATCCTTCTGAGAAACAACCATTCAATTACAAGGTATTTATAGGCACTGACATAGACTTCCAATTGAGGAGAAGTTGGTGTGTGGTGTCTCTTTATGGGTTCTTCTTGGATCTGGGAAGATTATAAATTGACAAAGGTAAGAGTTGTCAAGTCTCTGCATTTGTCCAGCAGAGGAATCTGAGAGATATAGGAAATCTATGCTTGGCTAGATGGACCCAATGACAGTCCCTGATGCTCCCCCCATTCCTTGCCATGCTCCACTGAGTTTGTAATTAGAGCTCAGTCTATTACAATGGTACTCAACTTTCCTTATGCTGTGACTTTTTAACACAGTTTTTCATGTTGTGGTGACCTCCAACCATAAAATTATTTTCATTGCTACTTCATAACTGTAATTTTGTTACTGTTATAAATCGTAATGTAATATGCAGGCTATCTAATGCTCTATAGAGCAATTTCATTGTAAATATTTAGAGAAAGAATATGATGTATTCCATTGAAGGGTCCCCTTGGACTATACAAATGAGAGTAATAGCCAGGTATGGTGGTGCATGCCTTTAATCCCAACACTTAGGAGCAGAAGGTAGGCAAAACTCAGTGACATTGAGGCAAGTCTGGTCTACAAGGCAAGTTCCAGGACAGCTAGCACTGTTACACAGAGAAACCCTGTCTTGAAATACCAAAATAAATAAATAAATAAAAATAAAAGACAATAATTATTATAATCAAAAAACATAATCAGTATACAGTTTTAAAATAAAATACTAGCACTAGGCACAATAACTTGTAAGCTATAATTCATTTAAACCTGTTAAACATAATAAAAACCCTTAAAAAATGAATAAGGAGAGCCACAAAACACATTTTTCTTTAATATTTCAAAACTATGTTAGCTTTTCATGATTCTGTATTTTAATGCATTTATAAATGGAGTTCATTTACTCAGTAACAATTAAAAGTTTGGTTTGGGGCTGGAGAGATGACTCAATGGTTAAGAACACTAGTTGGTCTTCCAGAAGTCCTGAGTTCAATTCCCAGCAACCACATGGTAGTTCACAGCCATCTCAAATAAGATCTGGTGCCCTCTTCTGGCCTGAAGGGATACATGCAAACAGAACGCTGTATATATAATAAGTAAGTACGTAAATAAATAAATAAATCTTAAAAAAAAAAAGTTTGGTTTGAACGGCTCAGTGACCAGGTGTTAGGATTACTGAGTTCACATCTCCTACCCCTGTCTCTTGAAGGTGACTGCCAGCCAGCGGCATAGAAAATGGCTCTATTCTATGTGTTTAATGCTTGTCCTTTTTTTTTTTTTTTTTTTTTTTTATTCTTAAATGATGTTTAGTTTCTTTAGAACACTTGCCTTTTAGCATATGTAAGTCTCAGGGTTCAATCCTAGGAACCAGGAAGAAAGGAAAAGAAACCCTTGCCTATCACAAAACAATAAAAATATTGCCTCATATCCTTAAAAGATTCCTCCTTCTTTCACACTGATATCTTTTACCCACAGTGAATGGCATTGGAGCAATAATTAAAAAACAGTGGCCTAGTTAAAAATCTAATAAAATGTGTTCAAGACCTCTAACCCTCAGAATCTTGGGTAAGAGGAAGTAACAAATGCAAAACATGAAGAGCCCCATCCATGTTCAGGATTAGGAAACTGTTAAGATGGTGTTAATGAAAGTGCAAGGCTGGGCATGGTGGCGCACACCTTTCCAGCACTGGGAGGCAGAGACAGGCAGATCTTTGGGTGTTTGGGGCCAGCCTGGTCTACATAGTAAACCTGGATGGCCAGGGCTACATACAGAAACTCTGTCTTTAAGAAAAAAAAAAACTTGATAAGCAAAATAGTCAGGGTGGTCGTTAAGAACACAAAAGGTGTAGGATGTGCAACACCAGATATAAAGCCTCATCAGAAAGTTGTAATAATGAAGTCAGTGTGGCCTTGAAAAATTTGAATGATACAGACTTTAGTGACAGACTCTCATAGATAAAATGGTATTATTTAAACGAACAGCATCAAGGGCTAGGGACATGTCTCAGGCAGTAAAGCCTTACAAGCATGAGGAGTTGGGTTCAGATCGCAGCACCCAAGTTAAGAAGTTGGAATGTAAGTTGGGAGGTGGTGGTGTATGCCTTTTAATCCCAGCACTAGGCCAGCATAATCTATAAGAGCTAGTTCCAGGACAGCCAGAGAAACCCTGTCTCAAAGAAAATAAAAATAAAAAAAAAATAAAAAGAAGTTGGGACATAACTCTAGTGCAGGGACTGGGGACAGGTGAATCCCTGGAACTCACTGGTCAGCAAATCTAGGCAAAGATAGGTTATATTTGTTCTTGCTGCATTTGTTTAATTATGTAAAGATGTGTTGCATTTGTTTCACCTTGCCTGTCTAAAGCACCTGATTGGTCTAAAGAAAAAAAAAAACAAAAAAACAAAAAACCAAAAACCTGAAAGGCCAATAGCAAGACAAGAGATGGATAGGTGGGGGGCTGACAGGCAGAAAGAGTAATAGGAAAAGGAATCTAGGCTCAAGATCAAAAAGAGAAGAAGGAATGAAGAGAACAAGGGGGAAAGAGAGGAACGTGCCTGGAGCCAGAAGCCTGGCAGCTGTTAGCCAACCATGGAGACAGCAGGAAAGTAAAATACACAGAAAGTGATCACCATATAAACAAAGTGGAAACGAAAAAAAAAAAAAAAAAAAAAAAACCACATGATCATCTCCCTAGATGCTGAAAAAGCCTTCGACAAATTTCAACACCCTTTCATGATAAAGGTCTTGGAGAGATCAGGGATAACAGGAACATACCTAAACACAGTAAGAGCAATATACAGTAAACCAACAGCCAACATCAAACTGAATGATGAGAAGCTTAAGGCGAGCCCTCTAAAATCAGGAATAAGACAAGGCTGCCCTCTCTCTCCATATCTCTTCAATATTGTACTTGAAGTTCTAGCTCAAGCTATAAGACAACAGACTGAGATCAAGGGGATCCAAATAGGAAAGGAAGAAGTCAAACTTTTACCATTTGCAGATGATATGATAGTTTACATAAGCGACCCAAAAAACTCTACCAGGGAACTCCTACAGCTAATAAAAACCTTCAGCAAAGTAGCAGGATACAAGATAAACTAAAAAAAAAAAAAATAAATCAGTAGCCCTACTTTATTCAGACGACAAAGGGGCTGAGAAAGAAATCAGAGAAACATCATGCTTTACAATAGCCATAAACAACATAAAGTATCTTGGGGAAATGCTTACCAAGCAAGTGAAAAACCTATATAATAAGAATTTTGTGTCTTTAAAGAAAGAAATTAAAGAAGATACCAGAAAATGGAAAGATCTCCCATGCTCTTGGATAGGTAGGATAAACATAGTAAAAATGGCAATCTTGCCAAAAGCAATCTACAGATTCAATGCAATCCCCATTAAAATCCCAACACAATTCTTCACTGACCTTGAAAGGATAATAATCAACTTTATATGAAAAACAAAAGACCAACATAGCCAAAACAATTCTGTACAATAAAAGAACTTCAGGAGGCATCACCATCCCTGACTTAAGCTCTACTACAGAGCTATAGTCCTGAAAAAAGCTTGGTATTGGCAAGAAAATAGACAGGTAGACCAATGGAATCAAATAAAAAATCATATTAACCCAATCACCTACCAACACCTGATTTTTGACAAAACAGCTAAAAGTATACAGTGCGGGGAGGAAAGCATCTCCAACAAATGGTGCTGGCACAACTGGATGATGGTGTGTAGAAGACTGAAGATAGACCCATGTCTATCACCATGCACAAAACTCAAGTACAAATTGATCAAAGACCTCAACATCAATCCAGCCACATTGAAGCTCTTAGAAGAGAAAGTGGGAGGTACCTTAGAACAAATTGGTACAGGAGGCCGCTTCCTGAACATAACCCCAGTAGCACAGACATTGAGATTGACAAATAATAAATGGGACCTCCTCAAACTTAGACTCTTCTGTAAGACAAAAGACATAGTTGACAAGACCAAATGGCAGCCCACAGACTGGGAAAAGATCTTCACCAATCCTACATCTGACAAAGGACTGATCTCCAAAATATACAAAGAACTTAAGAAACTAGTCAACAAAACACCAAATAACCCTATTAAAAAATGGGGTACAGAACTGAATAGAGAACTCTCAATAGAGGAAATCAAAAAGGCTGACAGACACTTAAGAATGTGCTCAACATCCTTAGCTATCACGGAAATGCAAATCAAAACAACTTTGAGATACCATCTTACTCCTGCCAGAATGACTAAAATTAGAAACACCAATGACAACTTATGTGGAGAAAGGGGAATACTCCTCCACTGCTGGTGGGAATGCAAACTCGTCCAGCCATTTTGGAGATCAGTATGGGGGTTCCCCAGGAAAATGGGAATCAGTCTACCACAGGACCCAGAAATCCCCCTCTTAGGCATATACCCAAATGATCCACATCCGTGCTCAACTATATTCATAGCAGCATTATTTGTAATAGCAAGAACCTGGAAGCAACCTAGATGCCCCTCAACTGAAAAATGGATAAAGAAGATGTGTCACATTCACACAATGGAATACTACTCTGCAGAAAAAACAAACAAACAAACAAACAAACAAAATCAATGGAATCTTGAAATTTGCAGGCAAGTGGATGGAACTTGAAGAAACCATCATGAATGAGGCAACCCAGTCACAAAAAGAGGAACATGGTATGTACTCACTCATAAAAGGATTTTATACCTAGAGCAAAGGAGGATCACCAGCTTATAATTCACACCGACAGATGAACTAGGATACAAGGTGTATTCTAAGAGATTCATATAAGGTCCCTCACAGAAGGGGGAAGGGCAAGTTCTCCAGAGCACATGGGAAGTGGGGGGCAGTGAGTGAAGAGGGAACCAGGAGAAAGAGAAGGGGAGGAGAGGAAAGCATGTGGGACTAGGAAGATTGAGACAGGGGAAGAATAGAAGACAGAAAAGAGAAAGGGATAGAGAGAGAGAGGACATAAAAGAGGGAGCCATTATAGGATTGAAGAGAAAACTGAACCTAAAGAAATGTCCAGAGACCTACAAGACTGACTCCAACTAACAATTTGAGCAACCGTGGAAATGCTACCATAAATGCCCTTCCCTGATAATGAGATCAAGGAGTAACTTACCCACCATCATGGAGTCCTTCTCTAGTACCTCTTGGAAATAGAAGCAAACACCCACAACTAAACACTGAGCCAAACTAGAATCCTGATGCAGAGAGGGAAGACAAGACCATGCTGCAGAAACACATAGAGACAGCTGACCTGAACAAGGAGTAGCTAACGGGCCCCCAGACTGATAGCTGGGAATCCAGCATGGGACTGACTCAGACCCCCTGAACATGTGTCTCAGCTAGAAGGACTAAGGGCCCTCAGCTAAGGGCCCTCAGACAGTGGAACCAGGATGTATTCCTGGTACACAAAAGGACCTTGTGGGCACATCCCCCATGGAGGGATACTGCCTTAACCTAGAGACAAGACAGATGTCCTAGTCCCTACTTCAAATGACTTGACAGATTTAGATGACCCCTCCTGGAGGGCATCACCTTACATGTGGAGTGGGGGGCAACGGGAGGGGAGGGTGGTTGGGGGACATGAGAAGGTAGGAGAGAGGGAAAGAGGGAGAGTGGGAGAGGGAACTGGGATTGATAAGTAAAATAAAAATAAAAACAAATAAATAAAATAAAAAAAAAGAAAGATAAAAGCCCTGAGACAAAATGTAAATGAAGAGAAATAGGTTAATTTATAAGATTTAGCAAGAAATGAGCCTAAGCTAAGGTCCAGCATTCTTAACTAATAAGAAATCTCTGTGTCATGATTTGGGAGCTGGCTGGGGACCCAAAAGAAAAAGCACTTGATAGCACTGAGAAAATTAAAATCAGGGGCTGGAGAGAAGGTTCAGCATTCCAGAGATGGCTGTTCTTCCAGAGAACCAGGGTTCAATTATCAGCACCTAGATGATGGCTCATAACCAACTGTAACTCCAGTTCCAGGGAATCCTATGCCCATGTCTGGCCTCTGTGGGTACCAGGCACACATATTGTACACAGGCACACATAAAAAAAAAAAAACTCCCATACAAGTCATTTAAAAAAATTAAAGTCATTTACCAAAAGACACAATTAAAACAGTAAAAAGTTAAGCTCCAAACTTGTCGTACAATTGACACAGAATTACATTCACAATGTATAACAAACCAGTGAGAGTAGGGAAGCCTTATTCTCACACACATCAGTGAACACAGTCCTTCTGAATCTAGACATGTAGAAGTTTTCTCACATGCACCAAACACTTCTTCAGCAATCTCCAAGTGTGTATCGCACACGTAACCCTGACACTATCTGGAAACAGCCTTGGGTCCCTTTGATGAAAGGCACAGTCCACAAGACCATCTTCCACTTCAGATGACAATCACAATGGGTTGTCTCAGTCCAATTGTGATGCTTTAACAGGTTACTTGAAATTTATTAAGAACAGAAATTTATTTTCTCACAATTGTGGAGGCTGTGAAGAGGCTTCTTTCCACATCCTCCAGATGAGAGGAAAACTGTTAAGAGGGAAGGTAAAGGGGCAAAGAAGACCCTCCCCCCCCCATGGTCCTATCACCTTCCAAAGGTCCATCTTCTATTGTTGCCACAATGGCACCTGGTTTAAACACCAAACAAAAACATAGTAACAGATGACAGACAAGAGGCAAGAACCTGATGGACATTTCACAGTTCAGATGGGGTTGTGGACCTCAGATACAAAGTAGTCGTAATTAGGAAAGATTCAATCATTGTATGCTTCTACTAGCCATGAAGGCCTGCCACAGGTTCAAAGATAATCCCAGACATATGAAAGGTTAGAATTCTAGTTCTTAATTTCCTTAATGCCCTAATTCCTTCCTGTTAGCACAAACATCTGAAAAAAAAAATCAGACACTGTTACTTTCCTTTTCCTCCCTTCTCCTAGGTCAGGAACAAACTTTTTGGGAACATTGGAGTTCCAGTCTTTGTTCCATTGTTATTGATGCATCTGTCCCAGAACAGGAACTATTGTTGCTGAGCAGAAAAATGTGTCAAATCAAACAGCAGGGTCCAAGTCACTGGGCAGTGGTTGTCCCAGAAATAACCAGGAGGAGAGCTCAGCCTGGAGAAAGGGCTCACAACAAAGTAAAGCCTCTTACCAGTTGAAGAATGGATGTACAGAGATTCAGAAAGCGACAGAACACTCGCAGAGCCTTGTGGTTCTCTTTGGCTATTGTTTTCTGCAGGTCCAGAAGTTCATAGCACTTATCTAGCTCCTTGGGTAACCAGGACACAGAACGAAACTCCTGAAGAAGCCTAGAATCAAGAAATAAGCTACTTGGAGCTGGTATCCCAGCCATTTCTCTTTCAATACCTTTGAACTATTCCCAACCCAGTTCAACCTAGATTGCGCCAATGTTTACAAAGACTGTAATATTCCTAGTGACCAGTTGCCACGTGGTAAATTATTTGGAAAAGCCTCATAGAATGCACAAATGCTTATACCTAGTGACCTGTCTTCCAAGAGAGGCTCAGATAAATCTTAAGATGTGAAACGATAAGACTTCATCCTGGGAATAAGAAAAAACGAAGGTCCTAAAGAGTCAAGGTTCATAGGAATGTTTTAGGTGATTAAACCACAACTTCTCTAGAGTTGACTGCCACTGAGGAAGCTGCTCCTGTTCTCAGCCCTCCCTGTTTCCCCAGAACTCCATCCATAGCTCTTGAGATTCCTTGAAGAATATGAACAACCCTCAATAAGCACGTTTAAGATGATGAATATATGGTAACTATTCTGTGCCTGCTAAAGGGCACTGGATATATCCATACTCAATCTCATTTAATTTGCATTATTTGCACTGTGTAGCTGAAATCTTTACAGGAGTTTGAAGACCATTGACTTGAGGGTCAAAGAGTAGATTCCTTGCTAGTTTTCAAGATCTAGATTCAGACCTATCAATCCTCCAAACCCTTAAAATTTACACCATCACCAGGCATGGGACACACACCTGTAATCCTACCTATTGGGAGGTTGGGGCAAAAAGGTCAGAAGTTCAAAGCTAGCCTTGGCCTATGTAACAAGTTTGAAGCCAACCTGGTGTATAGGAGACTCTGTCTCATAAAACAACCAGAAAAACAAAACATCTATTTAAAAAAAAAAAGATATTATGATGACTAGGCAAGTCTGAAGGATGGTAACAGCCTAAAGTAGAGGTTGCAAACTGGTAACTAATGTATCAAATTTGCACTAAAGTTTTCACTTTGCACTGCTAAGAGTTAACCCTCACAGTCTTTTAATTAAAATCTGAGCCCAAGTAAAGGCATTGGCTACAAAAAATCTGATGACCTAACTTCAACTCCAGATACCATATGGTGGAAGAAAAGAACTGACGCCCCCAAGTTGTTCTCTGACCTCCACATATACAAAAAGACCACATATGCACACATACACACAAATAACTAAAACTACATTTAATTTTTCAAATTTAAATTTTACCATGAAATGTAGATTTCCAGAAATTCTAAAAAAAAAAAACAAGGTAAGCTGATCACAGTGGATCTATACTCCAAAATTCCAAAATTTCAGTTAGATGGAACTGAGAAGTGACTGTCTTTATTAGATGTAATCTTCAGAATGCAGTGCCATGATCCCTACTGTATTTTTTCAGTATCCTCAATTTAGGCTCCCTGAGCATTTGAGTTTGCAACTTCTATCACAGAATAAATATGTCTGAAGCATTATGAAGGAAAGGCAATGAAGTGATTAAAGTAACAAAAATCAACTTTCAAAAAAGTGTAGGTGGATTTTAGAGAAAAATGCGAGGGATTAAAGAAATTTTGGGTTCTAATGTCCAAGTTTGACCCATAGGCTAGGTACTTAAATTGTGTTGTACTTATGATAGTTGTTATAGAAGAACATATAATTACATGGATATATATATATATATATATATATATATATATATAACTGGTTATGTAACAATGTGTAACATATGATTATATTTTGTATATGATAGGAGGAAGGACTAGAGAAATAAAATATAATATTCTTAGTGGTTATTTATAAATTATAAAATTAGAGGGTTTTTTCTTTGTGCTTTTTTTGTATCTTAAAATTTTATAAATGGACATGGTATTGCCTTTTGTCCAAATAAATTTTGTGGTTATTGACACAAAATGCTGAAGGTTGGAGATGCAGCTCAGTGGTAGAGCACTTGCCTAGTATGTAGAAGGCACTAGATTCAACCCCTAGCATTGCAACATACACACATAACACCAAAAACAAAAACCAAACCCCAAAATAACTGAAAACCAATAGGTTCTGCTATGCAGCACAGGTCAACTTCAAACTCTTGGTCTTCCTGACTCAGCCTCTGAGAGGAGGGACTACAAACAGCACACACCACCATTCCCAGTATGTAAAATTTAAAAATCCATGGCAGCTGTGTTTGTAATACTTCACCTGCTAATATGGAGCATCCCAGCTCCAAAGTGAGGCACAGCCAAGAGCAAATGACTTTTCAGGAAAGTATGGATCCGATGCAGCCCGTACAACCTCACATTCTTCTTCCAGCTACAGGCGAGAAGTGAATGACAATATGCTCTCAAATTTCTCTCATCCACATCTCCACCCAAGCCCACTCCTGTCATTACTTACCAGGTCAAAGCCTTTCGTAAAAGGCAATTCTTAAAGAATGGAATATTCTGGAGTTCGTGCCAGACAGCAGAGTTACGATGCCAAGTACCCAGTGTCATTGTTTCGCTGCCCTCCACAGGATGTACATGCAGGATCCCAAAGGGAGAGAAGATGTAGTGTTCGGGATTCACCTTGTTTGGTGGCACCACTATCAGGTTGTAAGGCCTGTTTTTAATTAACAATTTTAATTAAACAACAACAAAAACCACCTTTGAACAGAAAAACCTGCACATATCCTGAGGAGTCCAGAGAAGGTTAGGGGAGAGAAAAAGGAAATAGAAAGGGAGACAGAGAAAAGTAGAAAAGGGGGAAGATGGCAGGATAGTATTCAAACTAGAATTATTGAACAAATATTAACAAGAAATGTAAACCAAAGATAGATGAGAAGAAAAAGGCATTTAGCCTGTTAGCCTATTCCAAGTTCTTATCTTCAGATACAGAACATCTCATAAAATTTAGTACATCACCATTTGTAAGCCACAGTATTATTTTATGAAAAGCTAAGATTAAAAATCCTTCCATTATGATACATCTTCAATGTTTTTGGTTTAATTTTTTTTTGAGTTACACATTTTTCCCATTCCCCTTACCTCCTCCCCTTTCCCCTACTACCATACCCCCCCAACACACACACACACACACTCCCAATTTACTCAGGAGATCTTGTCTTTTTCACCTTCCTAGGCAGATCTATGTATGTCTCTCTCCAGGGTCCTCTTTGTTACCTAGGTTCTCTGGGGTTGGGGCCTGTAGGCTGGTTGTCCTTTGCTTTATGTCTATTATCTACTTAGGAGTGAGTACACATTATATTTGTCTTTCTGGGTCTGGGTTACCTCACTCAGTAGGGCTTATTCTATATCTGACCATTTGATTGCAAATTTCAAGATGTCATATTTTGTTTGTTTGTTTGTTTCCTTGTTTTTACCGATGAGTAGTACTCTCCATTGTGTAAATGTACCCCATTCTCCTTATCCATTCTTTGGTTGTGGGGGCATCTAGGTTGTTTCTAGGTTCTGGCTATTATGAATAATGCTGCTATGAACATAGTTGAGCAAGTGTCCTTGTGTGAGTATGCCTCCTTTGGATATTTCTGGGTCTTGAAGTAGATTGATTCCCAATTTTACATCTTCAAATTTTAAGATACACTAACATTTTGGAGACATTGAAGTGTGTCCATGGTGGGGGTGTTTTAACAGTGGCTATCAGAGCCTGTGAAGGATGTGAGTGAGGGAAGGATGGAGAGAGGAACTTAGGGCGTGGCTCAGAGGTAGAGCACTCACATAGCATTTGTGAATTCCTGAGCTCCATTTAAGAACAGAAGGGTAAAAAATGATCTAAAAGGGGAAAGTGAATAAATGCAACTGGTATGGAATCAGGAGGCTTGTTTTTAGAGTCTCTTGGATTTAAATAAAATATTAAAAAGGTGAAGAGATAGAAGTCCCGTCCAGGGAAAGATTTTGGTTCAGTCTAAAAACGGGATGCTTTTGGAAGATCAATGTTTCCCTAACATTGAGGTTGCAACATGTGTTTCTTTCACTGTAGTTAGGTAAGATCAGCATTAAATGTGCTTCTGAGGCTATAAATAAATGCTTGCCTCGTTTCAAAAAAAGAACAAAGAGCAAAGTAAGAAAGGAGCAATTCAGACAAGAGGGTATGAAAGCAATGTGGGGCCCAGAGGAGCTGAAGAGTGCTGAGGGGGAGACTGAGGGGCGAAGAAGGCTGCAAACTGTGAGGCAGAAGAGAGGGATGAACAAGGAGAGAAAGAACAGTAGGTAACATGGATGGGGAAGAGTGGGCTCTCACTTAAAATACCGATCAGGAGCCACATTGAGATAGAGGAAGTGGATCTTCTTCTGGTACCAGTCTATCTTCAGAAGAGATTTCACCTGACTTCTCAGCAAGGAAGTCTTAGAACTTTTCTTCTTTACGCCCTTTTCCTCATGAGATTCAGAGGCAAGCTGAGATCTGCATGACAAAATAAACCAGGGAGAAAAGGCAGAGCAAAAAAGGGCGTGTCTAAAGGTGTGCTTTGCCTCCGATGGCCATGGAAAGCAGCAGGAGCTAGATCAAGTGTCTGAGGGCACACAGGTGGCACTGTCAGCGCCTGTATAATCTATACTCAAGATGTCACTTACTGAGCAAATGCAGTCCATCATGCATGTTGGTCAGCTATAGTCAACTGGTCAGGGCATGAAAAACTCTTCTGATAAATGATTCTACTAGACTGCCTGTGATTACTGCAGTCAGTGTTATTAACATTGTATACAGTACTAGGAAGGTTCCCAGCTTATTATCCTGTAAGCCCTCTATCCTAAAATTCTTATCAACAATAAACTTTAATATTGGACCAAATTATCTTAACTGCTATATCTGTGATCAAAAGAGGGTATCAAGTTTAAGGTCTGCCTGGCTATACTGAGCTCAAAGCCAGCATAGGCAACTTAGTGAAACACTATCTCAAAATAAAAAGTACAAATAGGACTAAAATTTGGCTCAGTGGTACAGCAGTTGCCAAATATACATAAAGACCCAAGATTGATCCCTACCTAGCATGACAAAATAAATAAATAAACAAACAAATAAAAACAAAAAACAAAAAACATTATTTTCTAAGTAGTGAGGTTATATAATCACAAGACCAGACATACTGGCTCTTGAACAGATTCATAGTGTCCAGTCTGAATTCTGGGCTCATTCAATTTTGAGGTCATATACAAACAACTACTGTGCCCACCACCTCAATCTGTTGTACCTAACTGTATGCTCAACCCTGCTGAGCCTCAGTCTAGTCAAATTCTTCCTTCTTTACCTGCACAATCTGAGCATCCCTTGACTTCATTTGTCTTCTCCCATTCTGCCTCCCCAGTTTGAAGGTCAGTGTGCCTTTTATTTTCTGCAATGTTACTAGGTGTTTGCTAGATCCCTTACTATTCTCCATCAGATTTCCTCTTCTTACCATAATCTGTTGAGTCCTTTAGTCTACAAATACTGATGGAATACCTACTTCTCAGGTACTGTCTTAAGGGCTGTCAGTATCCCTCTACTCAAACAACTCCCATCCAGATACCAGAATTACTTCAAGTTCTGGTCCCAGTCTCTCTCTCTCTCTCTCTCTCTCTCTCTCTCTCTCTCTCTCTCTCTCTCTCTCTCTCTCTCTCTCAAGCCAGCCTTGATGTACAGAAAAATGGCATTCCCGCTTGTCTCCCATTCATTCTCAAATGCACCACAACCCATCTTCCTCCTCACAAAACCCTGGCAGTTTTTCACATACCAGCTACTGCCTCACTGACACCTTTTCACCTCCTAACCCACTTTACTAATCTAATCTTTACTCAAATCCTCTACTCCTTCTGTATCAGTGTGTCTTTCCCAACCCTATTCCACCAAGAGAGTACACAGACAATAGCCAGCAACCTTTTGTTTTATACTACTTATTACAATTTGTTTATTATATCTTTCTTGTTCTAACATCTCCCTCACCAAATTGTTAAGACTCCAAAGGAAAAAATCCGAGTCTGTCTGATTCATTTCTTCCATCCCCAGCATCTAGATACATCCAAGTATCTAATAATAGCAATGAAATGAATCAGGGCCTAGGAAGACAACTCTGGAGAACAGCAAAGTAAACTATATCAGCTAGACCTCAAAGATTGACTGCCAGGTTCAGAAAGATATGAGAACTTGATTCCTTGATATATTAGCCCATGACCATTTCTGTTAAGGTCTCCCGAGAGACAAAAGTTAGACTTGGGGCCACTCTGAAAAAGAAAAGCTGGGATGATTGAAGACATAAATTGTTGACATTTGCCACCTTTCTTCACAGCTCCAGGAACATGCCCACTTATTCACCATTAGGGATCTGAGACTTCACGAAAAGTCACACATTGATTCAGCCATAAATTCAAGAGCAAAATCTGAGGAAGTCATACTTGATTAAAGGCAAAACCAGCCTTTATTTCTAGACAGTGAATATATCATAGACAAGTTACAAAATATCAAGAAAATCAGATCAGAGCTAGTAGAAGTTCCTAGACTTAAGTCAAAGAACTCCCAGAAAGGGTCTTTTAGGCATTCCGAAGTCCTAGAATTTTGAAAGCCAGACTGGGGAACTGGAAGGAATGGATCATTACACAAGGAACCAGCCCATCCTGTCAGAGCAGGAAGATGACCACAGTCAGTGCTCTGCCTTAGACCTGAAATACTTCAGACAGACCTGTAGGAGAAGACCACTCAGACAAAGCACTCCCTAGGAGTAACCTATGGACCCTATCCATATCTAGGACCCTATCCACCCAGGACCACCATAACAGAAGCCCCAAAGTATGGTTCAGTGATCATAAAATATAGAGAAAATGAATCCCAAGGAAGCTTCTGGCACCACCCAAGGCCCTGAAGACTAGGAACCGCAAGGTTATGTTTTAGCCAAAACATATTGGTTGATTCTAGATTTTAGTATTTCACCATGGATTAGCATAGAGACACCGGCTTTGTCTTGCAAGTGAAAAGAGCCTGGTCCAGTCTTGTTTAGAGTTGGGCTAATCCCAAAGAGCCATAAGGAGGGGACTCAGGTGGCCCTATAGGCACCCAAAACTAACTTCTTTCTCCTCTACTCAAAGCCAGAACCAGGCCACTCACTTTCTCCCAGCAGGCTTCCCTTCTTGGTAATCAGCATTGCTGCTTTCATATTGTACAGGGATTTCTGTCGCCAGTGCCAAGGGCAGGAGACTAAGGCTATCCATCCACTGGGTCTCTTCTAGGGCCACCTCAGCACCAACAATGCCCAGGCAATGCTGTAGCTCAGGCAGTGTCAATGGCCGTAGCCACGTGGCCAGTTCCCTTTTTTGTTGCCCACTCCACAGGGCCTTCACAAAAGGGCATGTTGGCCATGGGGATGCTCGATGAGACCTCTTCATCAAGTGATGGCAGTCAACATGGGAGGAACTATGTAATAAAGAGCGGTCTGGGGGAAAGGCCTTGTCTATGGCATCTAGCAGGTCCAGCTGGAGTTGGGATTGGACGGTGGGTGCCCAGCAGTACAGCTGCTCCAGTAAAGGCAGCAGATCGAGTTGACCAGCTAGCATCTCACGATATGGAGGCAACAGGCCCAGGACTGCATACAGATAGCGCCAAGCTTCACGGCTGCCATCCTGCAGCACAGCTGATAACAAAGACCTCAGCTCAGACAGCAGCAGCTCCAGCGATGTCCGCTGCTCGGATTCAACCACTGCCCTAAGGAGTTCCTGTTTCTTCACGCAGTCCCAGGAGTGTCCTTGGCTGCTGCAGCTACATCCAGTGAGCCCAGACTCAATGGTATTAAATGATGGCTTCGTCTCTTCCATAATAAAACGGAGGCAGGTATTCAACTGCTGTCGAACTGATCTTGCCCACAGCTCAGGGTTCAAATGCCAGTTCCAGGCTTTTGGCTGCTGAGTCTCACCTGTGTGACACAACCCGATTGGGGCAGGGTTGGGGTAGGGGAGTAGGTTCAGGCTCTGGGCTAGGACAGCAAGAGGCATAGAGCTGCAGGGCACAGGCAGACCAGTAGAAGGCCTTTCCTGAGCCCCTCACTGTCAAGGACTAGCCCTGATCCGAGGAGAGAGCCCCTCCGGAGCTCCTTCCCACCCTCCAATGCCCTGTCTCACCTAGCCTGCGGGATGTTGAAGTCATGGGAAGGGAAGAGGGACAGGTCTGAGGATGAGGTTTCATTGCAGAGCTCCCGCTGTAGTGAAAGAACTCAGACTCAGTCCCAGTCACTTAACACGGAGAACGACACACGCTAGCAAAATCTTTGGAAAACTGCATTCACAGCAGGGCACCTTCAGAGTGGAGGCTGGCAATTGCCTTGAAAAGGAGACACAAAGGGGTCGTCACCCAGAGGCAGTAAAACTCCAGTCACCCAAAGTCTTCACCACAGACTAAGATACTGAGCCAAAAGCCCGCTGCTGAGTGGGGTTGCAGTTGAGGACACCTAGAGGAAAGGAGTAAAATGGAGCGGCCCCGGGCTAGCCAGTGGGAGGGACCTTGCGAGGAGAGGGGAGATCTGAATAATCAGGGCAGTAGATCGGGATCCTGAGCTGAGGACTCAACCACACCACCTACTCCCAGCAGTTAGAACGGTTTCAGAATTCTGGGGGCCCAAGCCTCAGTCGGGAGCCAGAAGGAGGGACCAGCATGCAATGTGGGAGGGGCCTGGGCGGGCCCCGAGCCCAGGCCACACCTGCAAGATGCCTTCTAACCCAACCCAAAAAGAATCTGGGTGAGAGAATGAATAAGATTGATTTGGGGCACTAACAGCATATAGGGTATCTGGAGCAGGTGTAATCCATGTAACCACTTATCCGCTCACTGGCTTTCCCCCTTTCCTCCCTGGACAGCATTATCCTTCTGTCCACAAAGAAAGCGCGCATAAGGCAAAAATCTTTACTCCCTCTCAACAGGCTACACATCTAGTTGGGACCAAGAATCCGGGAGTGGTTTAATTATTTAAAAAAAAAAAAAAAAAGCAGAACCTCTGGGGCTGGAGAGATGGTTCAATGGTTAAGAACACTGGCTGCTTTTCCAGAGGTCCTGAGTTCAATTCCCAGGAAATACGTGGTGGCTCATTCATAGTAGCTTCTGATGCCCTCTTCTGGCATAATGTTGTACATGCAGACCGAGCACTTACATAAAAGAAATAAATCTTAAAAACAAAACAAAACAAAAAGAACTTTGTTCTACCTCTCTATGATAGAGATTTTGCTCTAACCCATGGAAATTTGATATGCCAGAACTGTGATGGCGGTGATGGTTAAAAAGGAAGTAGGCTTTGGGGCATGTGTGTGTGTGTGTGTGTGTGTGAGAGAGAGAGAGACATGATCTTGGACATTTCAAGTTTTAAGTCTGAGATACTTACTGGCTATCCATGGGCAGGAGGCTTAGCTCAGTGGTACAGCACTTGCCCCACATGGTCAAAGCCCTGGGTTCAGTGTCCAGAGTCCTGAAAGGGAAGCTGGCTTTGAACTCATGATTCCTCTGCCTCAGCCTAAGGGGAAAGGATTATGCTTATGTATCACATTCAGCTAAAAGTTTAGCGTTTGCTCTCACATTATATTCAAGCACAAGTATTTCTAGGGCAATGACCTGAGTGTTCTCTCTTCCCAAAGGCTATGGAAATAGTGTTAGCCTTCCATGTCCAAGAGATTTCATCACCACATCTGCCAAAGCCCATTCCTACTAGTGTGATGAAGAGAAAAAAAGCACGCCTCTTTTTAATAACCTGGTAGTTGCACATGTCACTCATTCAATCAGCCAAACCTGGATAAAAGCAATCTAATCTTTGTTGTCAGTGTTTGTGGTGATTTGAATGAGAATGGCCCCCACAGGTCATATATCTGGACGTTTGGTCCCTTGATGGAGTTGTTTGGAAAGGATTAGAAGCTGTGGCCTTGTTGGCTCATCTCACTAGTGTAAGTACAGAAGAGTGAACATGTTTCACGTCTTCTTTAGACTTTATTTCAAGTCTCTGCTCAAATATCCTCTTGTAAAGAGTTCTTTAACTTCCCAATAGAGGTCAGCACTCTACCATGTCCTTATCCTCTTTACCCTGAATTATCTTTCTCCATATGTTGATTGCTATGTCATATACTCATTTACTTATTATCTATTTACCCATATAAGCTCTATAGTGGCAAAGATTCTAATTGTTCTATTGCCCCTTAGCTTATCCCCAGTCCTCAGTGGTAGGTAACATGAGTAGATGGTTATAAAATATTTATGGGAAAATGCATCAATATATAACAATATTAATCAATGACTAAGAATGGTTCTGGGATCAGACTGCCTAAATTGAAACACTGATTTTACCACTTGGTTTCATTTTTTTTTAAATGAAGAAAATAGTGTATACTTCTTTTGAGATTAAATGATGTTATGTATGTAAAATATATAGAGTCTCATAGAAAATAAATACTTGGTATAATTGACACAAATGAGACATAATAGGGTTTAGTGAGAGAATATGGGCATATGTTGTAAAATATTAAAGCTATGTTACATTTGTTTATGCTTTGGAATATTTGTTTATTGATGCAAAGATATGCTGTAGTCTTTATGTTGCATTTGTTTAATTCTGTGAAGCTGTGTTACTTTTCCTGCCTCAAATACCTGATTGGCCTAATGAAGAGCTGAATGCCCAACAGGTAGGCAAGAGATAGAAATAGGTGGGGCTGACAGGCAGAGAGGATAAATTAAAAAAATAAAGAGGGAAGAGCAACAAAAGAAGAGGAGGGTGCCAGAGCCAGCCACCCAGCAAGATAGCCAGACAGAGAAGGAAGAAAGACATCTAGAACAAAGAAAGGTAAAAGCCCAGAGCAAAAGATAGATGGGATAATTTAATAAAAGCTGAATAGAAACAAGCCAAACTAAGGCTGGGCATTCATAAGTAAGAATAAGTCTTTGTGTTTTATTTGGGAGATGGGTGTTAAGCCCCCAAAAAGCAAAGAGTTAAAACAAAACAAAACAAAACCTACAACCATAAACAATCAACTCTTCTTGTGAGGAATCCCCAAGTTGCAGAAGGTCAGGAAGTTTAGGCTTTAAAATAAGTTTTCCAGACAGGCAGAAAATGAGAATTCTGTTCAGTAATTCCTGCTATGTTGTGGAATATTAATTTAAGATGTGCTACATTTGTTTAAGCTGTGGAATATTTGCTTAATGATTCAAAGATATGTTGCATTCTTTTGTTGCATTTCTTTAACTCTGAAGCTGTGTTACTTCAATTGCCTAAACACTTGATTGGTCTAATAAAGAGTTGAATGACCAATAGCTAGGGAGGAATGAGAAGAGGAGGAGAGGAGGATGCCAGGGGTCAGCCACCCAGACAGCCAGATGTAGAATAAAAAGGAAAGAAAAGATATACAGGAATAGTAAAAGGTAAGAGCCCAGAGGCAAAAGGCGATGGGATAATTTAAGAAAACCTGTCTTGAAATGAGCCAAGCGAAAGCCAGGCTTTTTTTATATAAGAAAGAATACGCCTCCCTGTCCTTGGGAGCTGTGTGATGAGCCTCCAAAGGGCAGAGTGAAAAACAACTGACACTGCTGAGCCCTCAATATTGTCTGTAAGTCTAATTATGTTTGTCAAATCAGTTAATCCCCTTTTCTGCATAAGAATATTTCAAACCCCTATACTCACTCATCACAGTTTTGTTTTATACTCAAATAACTTTACTACCCCCCGATTTTTCTGTATAACAACCCTGGCTATCCTGGAACTCACTCTATAGACCAGGCTGACCTAGAACTCACATCCTGGTTTTTGTTTGTTTGTTTGTTTGTTTTTTAGAGGGCTCTCCAGTGTGTGTGTGTGTGGGGGGGGGGATAATGGAAATTGAATTTGGTTCATACATATGGGTGTAAGGACAGCCCACCATGAAGCAAGCTGAGACAGAGATTAATGCTGCGTTTTAAGGGGAATTTTGACCTCTACATAACATGTCATGGCTCATGTGTTCACATATATGCATTCACATGAAATAAATGTAAACATAATTTAAATTTTTTTAAATCACTTCTTCAGGAAGCTGGCGAGATGGCTTCATGGTGAAGAGCGCTTGCTGCTCTTTCAGAGGACCAGAGTTCAGTTCCCAGCACCCATATCAGGTAGCTCACAACTGCCTATAACTTCCAGCTCCAGGAGATCTGACTCCCAATGTCGCGTCTACCTCAACCAGCAAGGAAACACGACCACGACTCTTCTTCAAGCAGTACAAGGAACCTTGTACATCAGCTTTTGCCTCTCCCAGCCCCAGCAAGCCCTTAAATGTGCGCTCACTGCCCAATCAGCTCATGCCACCTGGCGATCCCAGATAGGTCACAGAAGGAGGAAGCACACCAGATCCATCAAGCACTTCCAAATAAGGCTTGTTTACAGCTAAGCTCAGACTACCTGGCATCTAGTCCATCATAAAAATAAAGATAAATGCAAAAAAAAAAAAAAAAAAAAAAAAAAAAAATCACTTTGAGAACTTGATTCCACAAACAGGTAAATTTGTACTTGTGTTATTTTCCATGTCAACACACACCATGGTTGTGCCCATTTTTCCTACACTGACCTTTACAAGTTAAATTCCAAGGGACAGTGACTTACTAAACCAAGCAGGAATATGGTCAGTGAACTCAAGAAATTGTGTTTTGCCACTTGATTTAGTAATAGCATTCTCAAGATTGAGTGGTTTAGAATGATGACAATATCAAAACACAGCTAAATGGATAGATAGCTAAGACAGAATAGAAGCCATTAGATATTGGAACAACTACTGTACCTCTCTCTCTCATTTTTTATCTTCAGATAACATCATAGTCTTATGTGAATACACAGTGAGTGTGAAGTCTACCCAAAAATGCAAAGACAGAGTTGAGAATCAGAAAAAATGTGTTCAAGAACCACCAATAAAATGTCCTTTTTATGGCAAGCAAAAAACAAAACTAAACCAAACCAAAGAAAAACGCTTAAAGATGAGTCCAGAGAGGTCATGAACCTGTTCAGACAAAGCCCCAGTTGTGATGCTGAGTATGGTGTCACAAAAGCCAATAAGCAAATGAGTATAGTTATTTATATTTTGTATCATAGCTGACTAGTTTGGGAAATGACTTGCTAAGTCTTTCTAAAGCCAAGTCCTTCTTCCTTAGAAACAGAACCCCTAATCTTTAGTTGGGCAAATGACTGGTAATAAAGATTACAGTTCCAACCTCCCTTATAATAAGATCTGGCCACATGAGAAACTTTTCACATCAACTTCCAGGGAAGAAGGCATACCCTTTACTAACAAACTCTGATCCATTCTGTTCCTTAAAAGGTTTATGTGTTGAAGAAAGCTCCACCTTAGGTCACAAGAATGAGGGGGATATCCCAGACACAACCATCAGAAAAATGTGAAGCAGCCCAGGTCTCAGACGATTGTGAAGCCACCATACCAGCTTTTACCTAGGTTTTTTTTTTTTTTTAAGAAATAAAAACTTGGGAAGCTGCTGTTATTGTCTCTTTGCTATCATTAACTGAGAGGGGTTCCAATTAATCAAAAGGGATCTGGACTCCAGCAAAAGGCTGTTAGGAGACAGCACTGGTCATCTGGATCATGTACTGATGAAAGTTAAATTAAGCTGCTGATAAAAGGGGGTGAAGTGTTTAGGAAATGTATACATAGAATTAGAAGACCCAGAAACCGAAAGAGTAAACTGCTGTAGATGGGCTTTCGGGTGATGACTGATCACACAGTGTTACAAGATGCCATTTAGTGAGTTTGGGATGAAAAAAACATGTTCAGATGGCCATGGCAGCTTGAGCCTGTAATCCTAGCATTCCAGAAGCTAGCATGATTACAGTGAGATATCACCCTGCCCGTTGGGGCTTGGGGACAGGTGTGGACGTGACCAGTGGGTGCTAGGTCTGTGGTCCCAGACCCCAGTTGGCTCTTTTAATTCCTGGCTGGGGACAGAGAGCAACCAGGGGCATCCTTGGAGCAGGAACCTGCTGTGGTCATCTGTTTCTGGTGTAAGTAATTTCTCCCCAAATAAACACCATCGGCCCATATTGTGTCCTGGAATCTTATTTCCCATGCAATATATGATGTTGTGAAGTAATTTCTTCCCAGGCCAAATACTACATCTTGAAGAAAAGTTTCTTAAGAAGAGAGGTGGAATATTCCATCCTGCAGGGAATGTCTTTCAAATTCAGTAAGTAAACAACTCAAAAGCTTTAAAGGTTCCTGAGCTTAACCAGATGCACTAGGCCCCTCCCTCTCCAAGCATACATACACAGCAAAGGACTGCTGAGAAACACTCAGACAAGATAAGCTGCCTGGAACACACACTCTCAATCTGGTGACCTGCCTGTAAAGCATGCAGTTTGCCCCAGGTTCTAGCTTTTGTGAGCTGTCAGCCATACTGGGCTGGGCTTCCAGTGATGTGCTGTCTGGAGTCATTTCTGGTCCTGCAAGTAACCCCTTATGCCTACTCCTATAAGTAATCCCAATAAATCTTTAGTTCAACAAGTTGGACTATGGTGGTAGCCTTAGGTTGGGTCTGTGGTCAGTTTTCTATCTTGAGTGAATTTACATGTCTGGAGTCCAAGACAAGCCTAGGCAATATAGTTGACAGCATTTCCTAACAATGACAACAAACCCCCAAAATAAGCAACAACAAAAATTCTCAAACTCTAAATTATTGGCAAAAGGCTACAATTGCAAGTGTTAGTGAGGGAAAAAAATATTAAAGCTACAATAAAATCTAATGAGACTAGGGACAGTGACTTACTAAACCAAGCAGGAATATGGTCAGTGAACTCAAGAAATTGTGTTTTGCCACTTGATTTAGTAATAGCATTCTCAAGATTGAGTGGTTTAGAATGATGACAATATCAAAACCCAGCTAAATGGATAGATAGCCAAGACAGAATGAAGCCATTAGATATTGGATCAAGAAATTAACTGATCTAAACTACTGATGGACTGTGTAAAAATCAAAGCATTAACTGGTGATAGGGAGTACAGGAGCTATTTAGAGGGAAGGAAGAGCTGATGAGAATAGTAAAGCAGGTAGACGACTACATGGATGAACAGCTTTAAAGCCATTCGGTTGGACCAAGGGACAGACAGTGAAATTCTAGTCACAATGACAGGACCACCACCTCTGCCTCCAATGTTTGTGATGTGGTAAGATTATGTCAAAAGCCTCTGGGCTGCACATATAGGTCAACAGTAAAGCCCTTTGTTAGCATGTAGAAAACCCTGAATTTGACCTCCTACAAACCCCTGACCCTCTCCCCCGGGGAAAAAAGAAGCCCCAAACTATTCTTATATGTTGTGCCTCAGAATACTGCCCTGCTCCCACTATGCCAATGGCTATCACTTTATGGTAAGACCTGGAAAAGACCAGCCAACTATAGAATGTGGGACAGTAGGAATGAGTTTTCTTCTGAAGGAAAGAAACTGGAGAGGAGACTAAAGGGAGAAAAGGACTGACAGGTCAGATTGATGCACATTTGTTTTGCTCTGAAGGCAGACTATTCAAAGATGATAGTTTATATAGATTGAGTGTCAGGAGCACACATGTGATCCTAGCACTTAGGAAGTAAAGGCCAGAAGGATTTGAATTCAAGGTGTGAGACTGCATAGTGAGACCATCTTAAAGAAAAGTCAGGTAGTTAAAAGAGAGTGGGCTTCAGACAGATCTGTTTCCTAGTCTTTTCCTGCCAATTACTAACCATGTGACACGGGAAGAAAGGAAACACAAGACAATTCACAGTACGTGTTTATTGAAAGGATACATACACTGATGCAGAAGAACTCTCCCATCAGCAACACAATATCCAGGGTCTCCACCTTCCTGTCTCTGGGAATGAAGAAGTACACATGCTGCTTTCCTTACATTTATACTCATCAAAGAGTGAATTTTGTCAGCAGACATGAGGTCACTCTATAGGGAAGCTCCTCGTCAGCAATTTTTATCTTCCTAAAGAATTAGCTAGCAACCAGTTGTAGCCCATGTCTGCAATCCCAGTACCTGGGAGGCTAAGACAGGAGGATCATAAATTTAAGGCCAATGGAACCCATGGCAAAATCACCTAAAATGAAAAAAAACAAAAAGAGAAAAGCAGTGACACACTAGAATCTTTTTTCAAAGAACTGTGTATAAGACAGACTCGAGTACATTCCATGTTCTTCTTTAGCTGTTAAATGGAAATAATACCTCCTAAGTTTGCAATAAAATGAATAAATAAGTTTACACAACATACTCAATAGACATGATTTTGAGAAGCAGCCTGCTGTAGTAAAAAGAATATGGGGCTTACTGTCCTAGCTGCATTTTATTAACAGGGTCTTGATATATATAGCACAGATTGCCTTCAAACTCAATTCTCAATTGACTATTTCAATTTTTTTGGCTGGCCAGCACTTGGACAGTAGAGGCAGGAAGTTCAGGAGTTCAAGGTCATCTTTAGTTATAATGATTTCCATGTCAGTTTTGAGACTCCTCCATCTCAAAAATGAAATGCATATTTCTGACCTGTAGGTGGGGGAAAAACCTGCTTGGTGAATGGTTGATTTTGGCTGGGAACTTAAACTTTAATTCCTCTGTAAAAAATAAAAGCTAGCCACCCGTTGCCGAACTTAAGGAATGGGATGAGATTAAGGAAAGCAGCAAAGAGGCACTGGGTAGTTTACGTTGTTAAAGAGTTTCTACCTGGCATGCACAAGCTTTTGAGTTTAACAATAACAAATGCAGACACCATGCTGTTGCTTGCCCTGCATCTTGTCATTATCCTTGAAGCCCCACATGGTGGCACATCCCATATCCTCCTTCCTTCCCTGTCCCCATACTGGAGATGGCATCATGGAAAATGCAGGGGCAGTAATGAAACAAGAACAGAGAAGCTGGCATCAGTTACAGTTACACAGTGAGAACTGTAACAGTGGATGGAAGGTAGAGAGCTGGAATTAGAAGATTCTGACATGCAGTGAAACACTAAGGAAGCATCAAGGGTCACACAGATTATATTTAATCACTCCTTACCACCATCTACCCCTCCCTTAGATTTCTCTTCTTTAGATTTGACTAACATAGTCCTCCTGCCTTGCCCTGAAGATAAGAAAACCCTTCTCTGCTTAAAATATTTATTGCTGATTTCACAAAGACAGGAAATATTAAGATGGTAAACTGGGGAAATGACTGAAATCCTAGACAATCCCTGTATTCTTACAGGCTTGTCTTTGTTTTACTGTCATTGATCTCCTAAGAATTGGTGGCTAAAGCCAATTGTGGTACTGTTCTTCCTCCTTTTGTTGTTTGATATTGCATTCTTCCCCTAGATCTAGCACAATTCTTCCTGTATTACAGCTCAGAAGAAAACTAGCTATGATCCAATATATATCCAGGCACTTAAGTTAGACTCAAGGGCAGCCACTGAGAGCTCTCCTTTTGGAACCAATTTCCCGTTGCTATTACCAACCTTAAAACTACCTAGGTTTTTGCTGGGATCTGGGAATGCTGAGTTTGCCCTACTACGAACAGAAGGCAATTTCTCAACTGTCAGGGCTGAGGGTAGAAGATGGGCACTAAATGGCAGAATAAAGGTTGGTTTCAATAAATGGACATAAGTTCCTGCCCAGAAAATCAGCCAGGTAAAAACCCGGTTTATTGGCTCCAACAAAAAGGAGCAATGGTGTCCAGCTTTCAGGCTCAATCTTCCTGTAAAAATTTCGACAAGCCCAAGAAGGTTCATAGAGGAACTCATCCAAGCACCTTCTCTCCTGGGGCAGGCGATGGCTAGCTGCCTGATGGCGAGTCTTTGGGCTGCTCTGCAGGTACACTAGGCACGGCCGAGGCAGCTTCATAGTCTGCGATGCGGCGCTGGACAAGGGCGGGCATGAGGTGCACGTAAGCAGCCATGAGGCGGTGGTTAGAATGGATGAGCTTCCCAGCACAGCTGTGTAGACAGGCCTCCTGGAAGGAAGTCGGAGGTAAGCAGAGACCAAAAGGGGTCCTTGTCAAGCCCTCCCTCTCTTCGGGTCCCCGGCCTAGAGGTGAGGTCATGGAAGATCGAGGTGCAAACGGGGAGGAGGGGTGTCATGTCACGTTATTGTCAACTCTGGGGCCCCCACAGTTCCCACCTCCTCAGAGTCCAGAGCTCGGTGGTGCAGGCTGGGCACACAGCGCTGGAAGCACAGTTCTGTCATCCGATTATAGACCAACAAGAAATCTCGCAACTAAGAGAAAAGCGAATCAAGACTTCACCACCGCCGAGGCTTCCCGGCGTGCAGCGCAGCCTGCCTTCCCCACTGGGGGCTCTTGCATGCACCCCAGGAAACAAACCGCAGGTTTAGCCCCGAGAACAACTTAGCTCTTACTCACGTTTCTTAGTTGCTGCTGCTGCTGCTCCATCACTCCCGGGGCCCGTGGCTCACGTCACTTCCGCCCCGAGGACACGGAGTCGCCCCGGAAGTAAATTCTCGCTAGTCACTAAGAGCTTGAAGGCGTGGTTCCAGTATCGCCCTACCCATGTCTGCCAACGTCACCTCCGCCCTTTTTCTCTGCGACGTGGCCGGCTTCGTCTGCCCGGAGAGCACGTCACTTCCGCCGAATCTCTGACCTGCTGCTAAGATCGCGACGGGAACTGGAATCCGAGGTCCCCGCGCGGTCCGGGCCTCGCGCCCTGAGGGGAAGAGTGGCCCGGCCCAGGTGAGAAGCACATACTTGTACGAAAGGAAGTTGAATGCACTAACCTGTGCTAAGGGCAAGATGCCCTGAGCCCTTGGCAAGGAAGAGGACACACCTGATGCCCAGGTGTGTGGGGGGGTGGTGGAGGGGACCTCTCACATCTGGAAGGCATAAACTGACTTTGGAAGGGACTACCTGTGTTCTGGGGAAGAGAGACTTTTACCTCACACCAGGAACCCACCAACTGCTTCAACTAAGGCCTGGTGGGGAGGGCCTGAGGGAGGCAGGTGCATGAGATGGAGAAAGGAGAGACCATTTGAAGGAAGAGGGGAAGGAACATCAAAGGATGTGAAAGACCAGTGATCGAAGAGCATGCTTGAGTAGCAATGAGGATCTGAGTCTAGGAAAGGTTTTGCCTTCAGGTAAACATCCCTATGCAGGGTCAAGTTCTCAGAGAGCACAGACATTCCCTCTGGCCCTCACTACTGTAATCCCATAGCCTCAGTATCTCACACATATAGGCACTCACTAAATGTTTGTTGAGTGACTGAATGTATGAAAGGTTACTAAAGGTGAGGTTGAGGGTCGTGAAAAGACACCCAAGGCTTTGCTATGCATGCATCTGTAGAAATAATGTACTTGGAAGAATACATCTAAAGGAAAGAAGTAAGTGCTCATCTCAGGGACACCCTAGTCTTAACAGACAACCTCTGAAACCTCTGAGAACACAGGGAAGGCCTCCTTGTTCTGGACTGCTGGCCAGTGTCCAGAATTGTCTGTGTTGGGCTTTACAGCGCGCTGGGGTGGAGACCTTGACTCAAGTCCCTTCCCTAGCCATGACGGACGGGATCCTAGGGAAGGCAGCCACAATGGAGATCCCAATCCATGGAAATGGTGAAGCTGGGCAGCTTCCTGAAGACGATGGGCTGGAGCAGGTGCTTCTGTTTGATTCTTCTAATTGTTTCAAATTAGCAATCCTGACTCTTAAATGTTTCTCTTTCCCTATCCCAATAGCCTTCATTTAGTTAGCCCGCTTTATACTTTTCAAATCTTCATTATGATTCTATACAGATTTTACTATGTACTGTCTCCATCCCCAAAATATTTTAGCCATCCCCATGTTCCTGAAGTGCCCCCTCTTCTCTGACCTATAGGACCTCCAGCAGGTGATGGTATCTGGACCCAACCTCAATGAAACTAGCATTGTGTCTGGTGGCTATGGGGGCTCTGGTGATGGACTCATCCCCACAGGTATGAATGATAAGAGACAGGAGGCTTGAGTGGGAGGGAGACTAGGACAGTTTGGAGGCACATAGGACACAGGAAAGCTTGAATTGTGGTTTGGAGAACTTTAGAACTTCTAGTGTGAAATCCATAGACTATCCAATCCCAGGTCAGCTCTCAGAGTTGATCATCTGCTTCCCACTTGCCATTTAGTGTCTAGCTATCTCATTTATCTTTTCTTTCCTGGTGCCACCACCTGAGCTAAGTTAAGACCTTTAAATCACAAGAACTCTGGAGCTTAAGGCCGATATACAACTTTGTGAAGCTTCTCAGAGTTTTTAGAATCTTATACTGACTGGAATTCTACTTGGAAATACAAACCAACTTCCCTATTTTCTATGCCCACCAACTTTGACCCTGCCAGTCCCACTCATCATGTTTGCTTCTGTTTCTTCTTTCCCTGTCTACCAACAACACTCCTAACTGACCCCAGGAATACTAAATGTGCACATTGATTTGCTTTAGTTTTCGGGACCTAAGTCCTTGTTAGCCCTAATGAACAGAAGAGTGCAGTCATTTCATGTGCTGGGAGGGAAGTAAGTGACGTCACAGAAGTATCTGATTGTATTTGAGAGAAACTGGTGTCAGAGAACTTGGTTCTTTAGGGTCTGGCCGCCATCCATCTCACAGCACCTCACCTTCTGGCCCTGGTGATGAGGTGGCCCGGGGCATCGCTGGAGAGAAGTTTGACATCGTCAAGAAATGGGGCATCAACACGTATAAGGTAAGATTCAAGTGCCGCTTCCCAGAAACTCTTCATGGGTACCTTTTCCTTTTTCCCAGGTCTTAATACATAGTCTTTTGCTATGGCTAAGAGAATGGGGGTGTGGAGTAGTTACTTGTTGGAGTTGGGGTGGAGTTTAGATTTCTGACCTCCCACCCACTTCCCAATTAGTGCACAAAGCAGCTGTTATCAGAGAGATTTGGCCGAGGCTCCCGGACTGTGGATCTGGAGCTAGAGCTGCAGATTGAGTTGCTGCGTGAGACGAAGCGCAAGTATGAAAGTGTCCTGCAGCTGGGCCGGGCACTGACAGCCCACCTCTACAGCCTGTTGCAGACCCAGCATGCACTAGGGGATGCCTTTGCTGACCTCAGCCAGAAGTCCCCAGAGCTTCAGGTGCCTCAGCCAAAACACAGAGGGTGGGGGTACTGGGCCCTGGCCCTTTCAGGCAGGCATTCCTCAGCCTCCCTCCCTCCCTCCTGCAGCCCCCAGGGAGAACCCCTCTGGGGTGTGCCCAGCCCTGCCCCCAGCATCACTCACCTATGGAGGCAGCCTAAGGGTTTGTACAGAGGTCCAAAAGTTGGAGGGGTTGTGGGAGAGGGCGCACTGGTGCCTCACAAGTAACCCTTCTCCATATCATCAAGAATGCCTTTGGTGCTTGGCCTAATCAGAGTCCCTCCCCTGCCTGCTGCACTAGCTTTCCCTGTTCCTGTCTTGTAAACTTACCTGAGACTCTACTCCCACATTCCTACCCTAGGCATCCCCAAGGCGACCCTACTAACTATGTGACTAAAAGAGCCTTGCTAGAGGCGGTCTGGTTGTTTTAGTTTTGATGGCTGTTTCTTCTTTGGGACAGAGGGAAATGAAGGGCTCTGTGGCTCCATTCAGGTAAGGACTGTTACTCAAGGCCTGTGCCTCCCTTCTGCCCTTAGGAGGAATTTGGCTATAATGCAGAGACGCAGAAGCTGCTGTGCAAGAATGGGGAGACGCTACTAGGGGCTGTGAACTTCTTTGTCTCTAGCATCAACACACTGGTCACCAAGACCATGGAAGACACACTCATGACTGTCAAACAGTATGAGGCTGCCAGGTGTGGGCACTGAAAGGGCTCAAGGTTTGGGAAGTTGGCTGGCATGGGTGAAAATTTGAACATTTAGGGGCATACAAGTTCAGGAAGCAAAAGAGTTACATGTGTGGATGAAGAGGTGGACACCAGCCTTTATCACCCCCTCCCCAGGCTGGAGTATGATGCCTATCGGACAGACTTAGAGGAGCTGAGCCTAGGCCCCCGGGATGCAGGGACACGTGGTCGACTTGAGAGTGCCCAGGCCACTTTCCAGACCCATCGGGACAAATATGAGAAGCTTCGGGGAGATGTGGCCATCAAGCTCAAGTTCCTGGAAGAAAACAAGGTGCTACCCTACTCCCTTGGTCCTAAATCACCTTCCCATCTGACGGTGCCCTTCCCTTCAGACCCTCCTGATTGTTGGGTGGGGAGATGCAGCCAGGCTAGGGACTGGGTTCCCATAGCCCCTTGGTACCTGAGCACTTTCAGGTCACCTTCCTGATCACTGACTGGCCCTTTTTTGTTGTTGTTGTTGTGTTGTTGTTGTTGTTAAGGACCTGGCCACTAGTCCCAGGAACATAACAGAAAAAAATTGCCCCCTTAGCTGGGGTGTCAGAACCTTAGACACTGCAAACAAGTCAGGTCTCTTCATGGTGCCCCTTCTTGTTTGACTTCTTGGAAAGTCCCCACCCCCCAAAGCACTATCAGAACAGAGTCCATATGCCCTGGTCAATGCCTGGGCTTAGGCTCAGCCCCTCAAGAAGGGAGGGTGCCTGAGGCCAGCCTTAGCTGACCCTGCTGGGCCCCCAGATCAAGGTGATGCACAAACAGCTGCTGCTCTTCCACAACGCGGTGTCCGCCTACTTTGCTGGGAACCAGAAACAGCTGGAGCAGACCCTGCAGCAGTTCAACATCAAGCTGCGGCCTCCAGGAGCTGAGAAACCTTCCTGGCTAGAGGAGCAATGAGCGCCTCCCAGCCCAACTTGGCTTACAAGAAGGACACTGGGCAGGGCAGCCCCAGGGTGGATGAGATTGGACATGTGATGTCCTTTGCCACTTACTTTCGGGCTTGGGCTCCCCTTTCCTGGCTGGGGTCTGACACCAGTTTTGCCCATACTGCTGTGGTCTGAAAAGGGCCTGTAGGCCCAGAAGCTGCTGCCCTGTCCTTTATCTTCCTGGCCACTGGGCTTCATTCCCAGATAGTTTCCTTTCACTCCACAGCCAAAGGCTATGACAAAACACTCCCTGGCCAATGGCATCACTCCTCAGGCCTATCCCCAGCTCTTGGGATGTGTCCCTGACCAAAGACAGGACCCCCAAAGGTTCTGTCAGCCAATGGCAGCTCTTCCTGGACTCCCCTGGGCCAATAGTGTTGCCTCCAATACCCTTTGTCCCTCCTCGATGTGTGTCCATTGCAGAGAAGGGGACTGGGACCAAAGGGGTGGGGAAAATGGGGAGCCCCATTTATGGCCCTGCATCTGAATGGGCCCTCCCCTCGTCCACCCACCCAGTTGAATTGTGCTTAGAGCCCAGGAAGACTGGGTTCTAGCACTAGGAATAAACCTTTCATAAAAGCAGGCCCAGTGAGGTCAATTTGTGGGGGACTAGAGGAGGGTGGATTGGTAAGAAATACCCAGTAATGCATTCAATTCCTGTGAATTCAAGA